TGTGTGTGTGTGTGTGTGTGTGTGTGTGTGTGTATGTGTGTGTGTGTGTGTGTGTGTGTGTGTGTGTGTGTGTCTGGCTAGATTAACTATTGTGTAATCAATGATGCTAGTGACGCTTAGATCAGATCCACTCTGATTTAGCCACCCACACTAGTAGCAAGTATTACCTTCACTGGGGGCAGGGGTAACTGCAGTTGGATCCCAGGACGCATACCCTGATGCCGTCAATCCTTTTTCTGCACCTTGTCCTCACCCTCTTACTGAGGTGTGGTGAGCCCATAAGTGGGATCATTTTCAAGTCCACCCAGAGTTTTGGGGATTTCAGGGGGTGTCGGCCGTTGGGCGGTTCAATAGCCAGTTGAGTCATCTGTCCAAGATTCCTTTCGAGTCTCTCTCCCCTCTCCCGGGGAGACGCACGTGACCAGTTTTGGCAGTGAGCAACAAGTACAAGTGCAAGTGTGTGTGTGTGTGTGTGTGTGTGTGTGTGTGTGTGTGCGCGCGCGTGTGCGTGTGAGCGCGCATGTGTGTGTGTGTGTGTGTGTGTGTGTGTGTGTGCGCGTGTGTGTGCGCGCGTGTGTGCGTGTGTATGTGTGCGTGTGTATGTGTGTGTGTGTGTGTGTGTGTGTGTGTGTGTGTGTGCGTGCGTGGGTGTGTGGGTGCTTGTGTGTGCAAGTGTGCGCCTGTTTGTGTGTGTATGTTTGTGTGTCCATTAAGTTTGTACCCCCCCTTCTTTTTACTCTGTTTAATAGTGTGTTGATTTCACGTGTGTGTGCCCATTACAGACAAGAAGCAGGAGAACTAAATCAGATGTTTGAAGAAGATCACCAAGGCACAGCTGTCACTGAGCGCTCTAACATAGAGGTACATTACAACATACCTAATGGCGTACCTCCACAGGGAAGTGCGTATTCAGGGGCATCATGCCCAGTACGACCATCTTCGTACCACTTTTAGTCCAGGATGGTCCCCGGAGCACCTGTGTTAAAACGTGCCCTGTTGGCTGAAAAATCCGATTTCCACCCCACCCCCTCCCCCCACCAGGGACATCTCAGAGCCCCCCCCCCCCCCCACCAGGGACATCTAAGAGCCCCCCTCTCCCCAGGGTTGTACCACTCCCTGCTGCCCAAACATAATTATAGGGATTCATGTGAAACGTTAAACAAGGCCGGTCTACCGCCCTGTTTATCGCCTCTATTCTCACCCATATCCATGAACTCAATATCCCTGTCCCATTGCCTCGTCTTCACTTCACAACATACATTCACTAACTTCCACACTAGCATCAAATATCGGGGCCCGCTCGTAGAGGATTCAATAGTGAATGCTGCGGTCTGATGATTGCTGAAATGGGTGAAACTTAAAGTTCCAACTACACAGCCGTTGACCTCTGTTGTGTGTGTACAGCCGGTTAGCCCAGTGCTGCTGGGAGGAAAGCATTGTAATGGCTCTGGTCTGTGTTTGATGCACATGTAGCACATTTGACCCCTCTTCACAGTGAAACAATATGATCAAGTCTTGCTTCTGTTTCCGTTCTGATTGCAAACTAGTTTCTGCCGATTCCTTTTTTTTACTTGTCATTGTACAGGAAGTGAAGTTCCAGGAGAACAAAGTGCAGTTCGATATCGCCACGAAGTGTTTATCTGTGCTGCGCTACATCATTGAACACCGTCACGGCCTGCCACTGTCTGTGCTTGCCAGAGTGCTCAACGTACACGGTACTATTGTCTTTGACAGCTGTGTCTCTCACCACACACACACACACACACACACACACACACACACCTTTGACCTTTGACGCCCATCGCCGGAGGCGATGATAGCAATGCTACGGCAGAAGCCATAGCAACTTGTGCTGGGATTACACCATTCAACAGCTCGCAAGGCTGAAGAATTGACCGTCACTATTCAGCCTGGTCTACACCATACAGCTATTTGGAGTGACATTTTCTGGCCAGTGAATCCCTATTTTTCGTCTTTTCATTTTTTTTTTTTTTCCCGCACACACATCACACCACATACTCCGGCATGCACTGGCTGTTGGTAACCACCCAGGAGAATGAAAGAAAAGTCAGGAAGAGTCTGAGAAAGAGAAGAAAGACGTGTGTGACCATAATCGTCGGGAATCGAACCCGCAATCTATCGATTGGAAATCGCTGCACATACCACTGCACCATATGGGACACACACACACACACACACACACACACACACACACACATAGACACACACACACACACACACACACCTACACACACCTACACACACACATAGACACACATAGACACACACACACACACACACACACACACACACACACACACACACACACACACACACACACACACACACACACACACACACACACACACACACACACACACACACACACACACACATAGACACTGCACACAACGGGCTGACACTGTTGTCTAGACGACAGGCTCACGCTGTTGTCAATTTAACGGGCTGAACAGTTGACAATTTTGGGCTGAACTGTTGCCATCGTGGCCCCCCTCGCTCACGACTTGGAACCTGGTACTCTCTGTTTCTCAACCATGATCTTAGACCATCCCACTGTGCCTCCCTGCCTGCCTGAAATTGTTGAAGCTAGCTACAATTCCAGCGCTGTTTGAGCTTACATTTGAACTTACATGTACTTGTATGTTGGTAGCCAGAGTTGGATGATCTTAGACCATGATTGACAAACAATCCAGGTTTGTATGTTTGTGTGCATGTGTGTGTGTGTGTGTATGTGTATCTGTTTCGCTCTCCCTTCTGCTCAGATGTGCCCTGTCTCTTAGTGAAACTCATAGAAGAATCTCCATGGCAACGAAGACAGCATGGCTGTGAGTTACTATTTCCCATTTGACCAAGTCCCAATACTAATACCGTCAACTATGCTAATAACGACTAAAGATATAACGACAATGACAGAATGTCCATGCCCAGAGCAAAGTCTCATTTACCTCTATACATATAAGGACACTTCGGGTATAAGGACACTTCGCGAATAAGGACACTTTTCTGACGCCCCGCCGAGTGTCGTTATACGCAAAGTTGACTGCACTGATTAAGCCAGCTCCAAATACAAATACTGTTTTGACCAAGTCCGAATACCTTTGACTTCTAGCTTGCCTTCTGTATTTAGCATGTTGTCCCTGCTGTCCCTGCTCAATGTATGAGATAACACCACATGAATGTTAACAGTAGATGCCAGTGTTGATGTGGCACGAAATCTGTTGTTTCAACTTGACCCTTCCAACTTGACTCTTACCATGGTGCACAATTCACAACATAGCTGTCTGAACTCGCATTGCGTGGAGGCTGGGTTGAGGGAGCAAATTGTTGACCGTGATTTTCCGGCGGTTGTTCCAGCATCTTATGACTGTGTCGTGTGTACATGCATGGATGTGTCCGCAAATGTTTTTCAGCCGTTCTCAAGTACATCCAGGGCCGATGGGAAGCGGTGTCGGCGGCGGATACCTACAAATTGACTAAGACAGAGGGACAGGTATACTGTATATGGCCAGCAGCAAACACAGTGTGCTTTATTCCCCAAGCTATGCAAAAGACGTTGCTTTAGTAGCGCATGGCGCTAACCTGGGTCCACACCGTTTTATTTCATGTGTGTGTGTGTGTGTGTGTGTGTGTAGCAGAGGAGGCTTTGCGGTGCATAAGTGTCGGCTAGGCGATGTCGACCAGCCGCCGGCCCCTGCCCCTGCTCCTCTTGTTGTTCCTGGTGTAACTTGCACCAACTGTCAGCGTTCATTTAAATCGGCTGCGGGTCTCAAGCGTCACCGTTGTGGAACCTGTCCAAAGCGCCCTACTGTGGCTGAACGCCAACAATTCAAGTTTCACTGCCAAGTTTGCCACAACCGACGGTTCCGGAGGCGGCAAGATCTGGAACGCCACTTGGAGCATTGCCTACCTCTCCCCTAACCTCTCTGACAGTACCTCCCTTTGGGGAGCGGCGTGGCCATTTCTGGCAGCTGTCAATAGTAGTAGTAGTAGTGTGTGTGTGTGCACGCGCGTGCATGCGTGCATGGCCATCATCACGTGAGGAGATGGTCATAAAGACTGAAACGCTGACAAACTTACTGGATTGTGTGGGAAAATGCAGTGCTTAGTTGTGTGTGGGTGAGTTGCCTGCAGCTATTTTTTATAAATATTTTGATATTAGAGTATCATGCTCTGCTCTTCTCTCTTGTCTTGCCCAGATCTGGATAGCCATCCACCATTTGATCATGGACGTGGACAGCCAGCGGCGCTACAACTTCTCAGAGCACAGCAAGGGCATAATGCTGCGGGTACGCTTCTACTTCTCCTATGTTCACTGGTTTGGGAGGGAAGGGGGGGGGGGGGGGGGTGGAAACGTGGAAGGTCTGAATAAAAATATTGACTGTCACGGTCTTTGACCACTTGCTGTTGAACTGATCTACTCACCTCCCACCGGTTTACGAGCTGCATCCTTGATCCTTGAAGGGTGTTGGCAGTCCTACGGATGAGAAAAACTCGGCCTCTAACAGAGACGCGAACCGTGAATTTTTTATTAATATATTGTTTGTCTCCACCAGGACTGGGAAGCGAGGAGCCACAGTGTAGCTGTCATCCCAGCAGAGACAGTTAAACAGTTTCTTCAGACTACAGTGTTGCTCAATGAACACCGCTTGAGTGAGTCTACTACGCGCTGGGCGCTGTGCAGCCCCAGACCTGCGGATGCCGGGATCTTTATCAGTACAGGGTGCAAAGTGGACTCACTTGATTGGATTTCACTGCGCAGGCTGCACACAGCATTCCTCTACGCGTTCATGATGGGTGTGTTGCCTGTGTATGTGTGTGTGTGTGTGTGTGTGTGTGTGTGTGTTTGTGTGTGTGTGTGTGTGTGTGTGTGTGTGTGTGTGTGTGTGCGTGTGTGTGTGTGTGCGTGTGTCTGTGTCTGTCTGTCTGTCTGTGTGTGTTTCGGTATACTAAAGAGATGTGTGTGTGTGTATGTGTATTGTGCGTGTATATTTGTATGTGTGTGCGCGCGCGTGTGTGTGTGTGTGTGTGTGTGTGTGTGTGTATCTGGATGTTTATGTGTGTGTTTGTTTCGTATGTATGTATGTGCACGTTTGCAGCTGCGAGCATACCTGCCGGAGATATTGCTTGATCAGCTGCCATTCCTCGTGGACCTCAAGTCCTTCCTGGAACGCATGGCTGTCTCCGACCCCAGTGCCCAGCCTGTAATGTCCTCCTCGGTCGTTATTGAGCAGGTACAGTGTGTGTGTGTGTGTGTGTGTGTGTGTGTGTGTGTGTGTGTGTGTGTGTGTGTATGTGTGTGTGTGTATATAGTCTGTGTACAGAGTGCACATGGGGAACAGCGTTAGCTGTGTGTTACCTCGCATGTGGGTGTTTCTCAGGACACACACTCGTATCTAATTCTAACTCTTCATCCATGATCCATCCATCCAACCATCCATCTATCCATCTATCTCTTGTTCGCATGCTCTGCAATTCCACCCCTCGCCCCCCTCCCCCCCCCCCCCCCCACCTCTCCTTATCACATGCAGCTTCCTGAGATCAGGCAATGCCTACTGGAACGGTATGCAGGCAAGTGGTCTCGCATAGCTGACACGCAGCGTGACAAGTACTTCGATCCCAGCCCTGAGGAAATGAAGAAGATGGCTGACAGGTGAGTAAAATGACAGTAGCATATTCCTAGGAACATTGCCATGGATACTGCCAGGGATTTTACTCAGGCATTTTGCCATGATTGTTGCTAGGAGTATTGCCATGGAAACTGGGAGAGATGTTGCCAAGATTAATGCAAATGGTTTCGCTTCGGAAACTGCGATGGATGTTGCTAGGGAAACTGCAGGGGATGTTATCAAGAGTGCACAAATAAGAGTATGCAACTGTGGTTATGGGTTAGTGCGCTGCGCGCTGCCTTCATTACGTAACTTGCCTTCATCACGCTCTGAAAGCATGCATTCAAACTCTCAATTTCTCGCACGAGCCCATCCGTTTTTGCTCGATTCGTTCCAGTACCTACACAATCTCTGAATTCTGGCGCGTGAACTCCAGTTCCGTACGAAAGTTCATTTCAAACTGGAGGGAAAGTGCAGTGTTTGATTTTCCGCAGTGCGCGGACTGCAGCTGAATGATGTAATGAAGGCAGCGCGCCGCGCATCTGGCCCATAGAAAAGAGATCACAGTTGCATACTCTTGTTTATGGACTCTTGATGTTATCTATATTCTGTGGATATTGCTTTCAGAACTACTGTGGAGGTTTCTCTGTATACAAGCGCCGCCTTGTTGAACCACAATTGTGATATATCCCGGTATTGCAAGCTGGTATTTTCCATGGCCTTTTCAAACCAAACTGGGCTAAAAGCCAATGTACTGACCATAACGAAGGGAATAAAATAATACACTTGTTTGCTTGGAGGCTGTGAAAGAATCTCCCCAAGCCTCAACGAATCTTTCGCCTCTCGCAGGCAAAAGACTAGCAAGAAAGAATACTCACAGGCAAAACTACTGTCACTGTTGGGAATACCCAAGTAAAAATACAATTCAATACAATACAATAGGAATGGGTTTGCTCCCACACTGGAGCTCGCGCTATTCCGCCGACTTGACTTGACACTTGACTGACTCACGACTGCCATCCAGAGCACACGAGAAGTCCATCGAACCTTCGACTCGGCAAACCTGCAAGAAAGCACCACTCCCTGCTCAATTCACAGTGTTTCGGGGAATTTACCCCTCATCTGCAGGTTTTCCGAGTCGAAGGTTCGATGGACTTCTCGTGTGCTCTGGATGGCAGTCGTGAATCAGTCAAGTGTCAAGTCAAGTCGGCGGAATAGCGCAAGCTCCAGTGTGGGAGCAAACCCATTCCTAAAAAATCATCGCCGAAGTCGCAACCACTATATCATACAATACAATACAAAACACTTCTTCCGTAAATAGGTTATCCTATTCACACATCTGCCAGCAAAAACAGTCACTGCTCGCATGAGGCCCAGTAAGATTGGGGCACCCCATGCAGGCACCCCATGCAAGCACCCCATGCAGGCACCCCATGCAAGCATACCGCTACCCTCAATGATCAACGCACAGAGACGTACTTCCTATCGTATCCTACCTGCGTCTTTTTGTATTTTCTATTCTACCAAATGTTTTCGGTATTTGGTCCTTTGTCCTGTCCTTGAACCCGAGACCCATGGTCGGGGGGGGGGGCAATTCATTAGCACACTCCTCCGGCTCCCCGCTGTCTTGTCATGTCTTCCCCTTGGTCCTGTCTTCTCACTACGTTCTCTGCGGGACTGTGCACTTCAGCAAGAAAAAATAATAAACCATAATCGTATCGTGTCTGTTGGTATTGCGTATTATTCAGGTGGTGTGAGACATACGATTTCAAGTCCCTGGAGCGTCTGTCCATCACGGACAAGCCGCGGTGTGCATTGTGCGGCTCTGACGCCTCTAACAGATGCTCAAAGTGCCAAATGGAGTGGTACTGTGGAAGGTGAGGGAGTGATGGCCTTCAGATTCTCTAGAACAAGTGAATTGGAAAGCAAAGTTCACCGGTGATCCCTGCCAGTTGTGAGTTTCTGCCACGCGGTAAAATGTACCAAAGTATCGTATGGAAACCTCGTCGCGGTATGGGATCAAGTTTCACACGGATTTTTTCATACCGTTTTCCGTGTGAAGCTCGGACTGGTCCCCGTGTGAAAACTGAGCGCCCAGAGTACATGTGGCAGGAAGTTCGAGCATGCTACGAGCATGCTACGCGCAGCAGAACCGGCGCAACGTCCGGCAAATCCGTTTCACCCTTCACTTCAGTCGACAAGGAGTTGGGTATGTAGTTCCATGTAGCGGGAACTTGCTAAAACCGTATTACCGTATTACCGTATTACCGTAATACCGTATTATCTCTATTGCAAGCGCACTCTCTTGTAGAAGCCCAGTCTCTATTATAAGCACACTTCAAGAGGGCTTCGAAGATATACAAGCGCAGTCTCCAATATAAGCGCAGGGCTTATAATGGAGAACCGTATGGATCATGTCCATGCATGTTTGACACCACACAGTATCACATAAACACATGCTGTGGTGAAAGTCTGTGATCCCCGTTATCTAAAGTTCAGACTCAGTGTGCCAGGAAGCACAAAACTGCAGTCCCGGCGCCTGCTGGGAAACTTTGTGCTACTGATACGATGGAAAATAATAGGCGATGTACAGGAGCCAGGTGGTTGAAAAATTATAAGCCCAGTCTCTAGTAGAAGTCCAGTCTCTAATAATCCCGAGGTCCGGACTGGGCGAAAAAATATATTAGCGCTGGGCTTATAGTGGAGATAATACGGTATTGCACATCACTGGACACTGACAGTTGCTCGCTACCAAAAGAGTTAGCAATGTCCAGGTCTCCTCTTTGTATCGACTATTTTTTCGTAAGATGACCTGTAGCCAATAGAAGAATAAACTGTGCATGAAATGGTTGAACATCTTTTTTTGTAATTTTGGCATGATAACGTGCAGAAAGTTAAACGATGACTACCTGGCCACCCATCTGTATGCGCATCTTTGCACAGACATCTCAAACCGGGTTTGCGATAATGTTTCTTCAAATACCGGAAACAATTGGTTTTACAGTGTGCCGAAATCTACAGCCTAATTAACACGACTAGGGGTTGCAAACATCGACATTTTTTTGGAGTTTAGCCTGTTTCACATGACTTATTATGGTCATTTGGTCGAATCCGGATCCAGATCCAAATCTCAGATCCGTCGGATCCTTCAGAATCAACCGATCACTTTTTTTCGGACCTAGGCTCGCTGCCATGTTGACGAAGTAAAAAAAATGGCGCTGACAGGTCACCCAAAAGTTCGAAAGTCGTCCTGATCGTGCACGTCGTACGAAAAGTCAACAAAAGAGTCGACTAGTTGTACGACAATGAGTACAAAAATGATCCGATGGATCCAGTCAACCCTGCTCCCGGGGCAGGGTTGCTCGGATCCAAATCCGAAGGATCTGGATCCGGATTCGACCAATCGATCACTGCAGATCCAGTGACGACCCTTAGGCAGAATTGCAAGATGAATGATTTGAGTCATTTTGTCTTAATTTAACGCTACCAACGTGTTGCTGCTGTTGTTGTTTTCCACAGGGCCTGTCAGGTGAAGCACTGGAAGAAGCACAAGCCAGCCTGCAGTCTCATGTCTACTCATACCGATACAGCCACCCAAGCATCTACTGTTACCGCCAATACGGCGTAGCATACTACTTGTATGTATAGCTACATGTAGTGGTAACATAGCAACACACTCAGGACCGTCGGCAGTAGTTTTTGATTGGTCTGGCCACGCGACAGCCTTTCATACTGTGTGTGTGTGTGCATGTGTGTGTGTGTGTGTGTGTGTGTGTGTGTGTGTGTGTGTGTGTGTGTGTGTGTGTGTGTGTGTGTGTGTGTGTGTGTGTGTGTGTGTGTGTGTGTGTGTGTCTGTCGGTGTGTCTGTGTGAAATAGCTGCATGGTGACACATGACCTCCTCAGCAGTAAACACCTGTTCGTGGCCAACAAGCTAGTCAGGTGATGATCTGACCATCTGGACTGGTTCCAGCCCGTCAGCTATGTGCTGCTTGTGTGCACGCCGGTGGTTAGACTTCGTATCCATTTGTTTCTGTTGTAACGGTCTTTCTCATGATCTAATTCCTGTAATTCCACAAAATTCCTGTAATTCCATAAAATTCCATACAATTTCTGTAATTTCTGTATTATACTGAGTTGAGACGTCCATATTGCCCAATATTTGCAGCAAAAACTGCTTTTTGTATCTTATTGCAGAAAGCTTGCCCTATTTTTTTATTTGAGGAGGAGACTCCAGTGTGGGAGCAAACCCATTCCGAAAAACTCATCGCCTAAGTCGCAACCACTATTTCAGGCAAAAGTCGTAGTATGGAAATGAAAAAGTATGAACGAGGTCATCACCATTCACAAGGCACCAGGTGAGATACAAAACACTTGAAGCGTATCTCCAGCTCATAGCATCATTTTAAAATCACGTCAAAACATTTGACCATGTTAAAAGTTGAGTGTACTTCAAAAACCATTAGCCACACTAACGGGCAAGCGTAAGGACTTCGATGTGTGAAAAACTAACGACTAGCTACAAAATCAGGATAGTAGCTACAAACATAGTATACAGGGGTTCATCCCAAAAGTATTATGGGGTGCACAAACTGACAGCAAGGAGGCGGCAGGAAGACCACGCGCGGGACATTATTGGGTTATGTTAGCAAAATGCAGCTCGAGCTATTAAAGGGTGGGGGGGGGAGGCATTACAAGAATAATGTGTTCAGGGAAAGGGCTTGTAGGTGGCTGGTTAAAGAGATGGCATTATGGATGCATGCAAGGCCAGTATTGGCTATCGTAAAGAAAGTAGCTTTGGTACAGAGGCAGCGAGGCCATTATGACCGGACTTGATCCAGGGTAACAAGCCAACAATGCTAAAGGCCATACTAATATTAATATCTAAAGAAAACTTCAAAGTTTCAACCTTTTTTTTATCGCCGTGGTTGGCAATCATCCACTCTCTTAACATTAACATTCGCCGGTGTTACCACCGAGTCTTGAGATGTTGTAGTAAATTATAAAACATAATATTATAAATTTAATATAACAGAGGGAACACGTTAGTTTATGTGCGGTTAACTAGTAATTTCATGGACGAGAAGTGAGTAGTAATGAGTTGTACTGGTGAAAGAGAAATGCACTGTAGCTGCTGCCACAGAAGCAGTGTAGCTGCTGACACAGAAGCAGTGGTCGACAAGAATTCCTTTGATCGATATCTAGGTGGCCACCGTTACTCCTGCTCTGTTGGTTAAGCGTCGGGATGGCCATACGGCTGTATTATGTCTCATTGGATGTCGTTCTCAGTGGACGAAAGAGCGGATAGGACACAGGGAGTGTTCAGTGTGTGTCCGAGTGGGTTGATGTACGATCCACTGCGGTCAATACATTGGTACACATCCTCCTCAAGGTTACCCGTCGGTTCATACCCCCATCCCGCAGGCTCACCCGTTTCCTCATAAATATCGTCCACACGTTCACCCGTTGCGTGAGACACACATTCCGCATGCTCATCCGTTGCTTCATACCCACATCCCGCACGTTCATCTGTCGCTTCACACCCACGTTCATCTGCCGCTTCATACACATATTCCGCAGGTCCACCCGTTACTTCATACACACATTCCGCATGTCCATCCGTATCTTCATACACACATTCTGCATGTCCATCTGTTACCGTAGGGGTGTTCTTGGAGTTTCCTTGCTCGGACGTTACCTTTCCAGCTACCTCCCCGACTTCGTATATATGCTGGTCAAACACGTCTGTGGATGGTGGTAGGTTGCCTGCATGCTCTGGGATTGTACTGGCACCGATATCATTCTCAGAGCATACACCATAGCAGCTGTATGAACTGTGAGCCTGGGAAGCCCGAACATGTCGCCTGACACTCTCCTCTGTATCTTCCCTGGTATTGCCTGCAGAATACCTGTAGTTGTTCATTGCCCTTGACCCGCTCTTCTTGCGTCCAGCTCGGTGCTGTTCCGCATCACATGATCCTTCGGCCTCAGGCTCAGCAGAAGTGGATCTCCTCTCAAGTTTGGCCATAAACGAAGACATCCACGGCGATAGAGTTTCATTCACACCTGGACGAACAGCAAATAAATAAGCACACGAAGAACAGAAACCATTATAGTGTCGACTAGGGCGTTCGTACCTGTACTTTTCAAGTCAAATACAACGTGATTGACATGGCAGCAAGCAAGTCCTTAGAACTGAAATGTGTGTGGTGAGAAGGGGGGGGGGGGGGGGGGGGACTCATCATCATCTGCTTCCTTTCTACTTTTAAAGGGGAAGTTAAGGCAAAAATTAAAATTTCACCAGTTGTAGTCTTCGGGGTGCTGAGTCGAATGGTCTTGGTCCGAGAAAGCTGAGACGCTCCCTTCCTACTTGAATCCCAATCGAACTCGCGCACTTCCACCGAAACTGGGTGACTGCGCCCTACTAGATGGGGATTTGTATGCAAAATGTCACTAAAAGCGCCATTTCGTTCTTATCAAAGCACGGATGACCGCGATTGGCTCATATGTTGTAGTCTTTTGGACGCTGAGTCGACTGGTTTTGGTCCGAAAAGGCTGCGATGCAGCGTTCCTCCTTTATTCCCAAACGAACATGGTGGAACAAGTGGTCACGTGCTCCTGGGTGCCCAAATCACCTGGTCACCACGCCAGCAGGCGACAACTTTCACACCAAGGTTCAAGTCGAGTTCAACTCGAGTGACAAGACTGCACCCAAAAAAGGTCAAACAGGCTAGTAAGTTGTACCCTGCAGGCACGGTGACCAGGTGACTGGTGTACGCAGGAGCACGTGACCGCTTGTTCAACCATGTTTGATTGGGAATAAAGGAGGAGCGCTGCATTGAAGCCTTTTCGGACCAAAACCAGTCGAGTCAGCGTCCAAAAGACTACAACATATGAGCCAATCGCGGTCATCCGTGCTTTAATAAGAACGAAATGGCGCTTTTAGTGACATTTTGCATACAAATCCCCATCTAGTAGGGCGCAGTCACCCAGTTTCGGTAGAAGTGCGCGAGTTCGATTGGGATTCAAGTAGGAAGGGAGCGTCTCAGCTTTCTCGGACCAAGACCATCTGACTCAGCACCCCGAAGACTGCAACTGGTGAAATTTTAAATTTTGCCTTAACTTCCCCTTTAAACCAAGAAAAGCTGGTGTTATCCACATCACACATAATACTTGTTTTTTTTATTAATTTCTTTCCCTCATGTTCTTAAACAAGGTGACACTTTTGTTTGCAGGCCTATCAGTGTGGAGGGTGAGGACTGAGAACTCACCTGCACCAGTAATTGGTACATTCCCTGTTTTCCTCACGTGCAACGCAAATACAATAGCTCCCAGTAGCGTGGCAAATCCCAGTAAAGAACCAACGATAGGACCTGTTAAGGCGACCGCTCCTTGTCGTTTAGCACCTGAGAGGAAAGGAGCGGGGAGGAGAAAAGTGAATATTTCCATAGGATTACTATGCCTGAAAAGTTTTTTTTGTTTCAGTTTCTTTTGTTAATTTTAACAATCTCCAAAAAGAAAAGATTAACTCGGATGGTGAGCCAATTAAATTATGGTGAAAAAAGGAGGACAACAGGTTACGAGTTATTTGTCAGTTTTGTGCCATTTTGTCGCACTCACTGAAATGTATAAGATCTGGTTACGTTGGTGAACATTTAGTCATAACTCGTAACATTTTGTCCTCCTTTTTTCACCAAAAAGAAAAGAGGACCAAAGAGCTACAAGTTACGCTATGATATCCACTAACACCACCAGTTACTTTACATTCAGCTCACCCGAGTCTAATCCCCCCAAAGAAAATACTTATAATATTATGCTTATAGTGAGTTTTGTGTGCGGTGAAAAGGGCATAAGAGTGGGGTTTTAATTGGAGGGAGAAGAAGAATCGAAACTCGAAAGTATGAAAAATATTAAAGTAATGCTGATGAGCACTACCAAATCCAGGCTATCATACACTAAGATAATGAAAACTGGACTCGGACGGAGAGCCAAGAATCAACTTATAGAAAAGAAAATGACCAATGAACTACAAGTCCCGCTATAACGCTATAGCCAGTTAGTTGTAGAACGTCAGCACTGCTCGGTCAGTGTCGTGCAATGTTATCGCATGAGCTGATTGTTTAGTAACTGGTTGTGTTAGTGGACAGTATAGCGTAATATGAAAACTGCGTAGTTATTCTATGTTCTCATGCATCTAGTTGTAGAAACATCATCAAGGAACGATTGGTTGTCTCAACTGTGACTGTATGTCTGGTGATGGTCATCAGTCAGAGTACATTACTGAGTGGTGAACAAAGAATATCAAAGTATCATACAAGTATGGACTTGTAGTTCTTTTACTATTATTATTTCTTTAGTTTCGTTATAATTTCTTGGTTTCTTGGTACTTTTTGGCTGTATAATTTTTAATTTAGGTGCAATTTAGCGCTGCAAGGCGTATAATTTCCTTTTCTTAATTTTGTATTTAGCGCTTTCGGGTGTTATTTTTATTTACTTATTTTCGCACCGCATGGTTAGTTCAAGGCATACAGTCAGGGGGAGTGAACTGCCTGAAAACTTTCTATCTTCTTTATTTTCATTTTAACATAAGCAGAAAGAGGACCAAAGAACTACAGGTTATACTACAGGGCATGCGCTAAGGATTAACATATGCTCTGACACAATGTCCTGCCAGTTGCAAAAATGGCCGGACATGTCCGGACATGCAACTTTCACATCAAATCACAATGGCCGGACATGTCCGGACAGCCAACTTTCACATCAAATCACACAATGTTCAGTGTAGAATTAATACCATCGAAATGTTATCACTACGATGCATTTCAGAAGCAGCATGATCTTTGAAGGCTGACGTTTTCAAGTTCCTTGAGCCAACGACGATGGAGTCAGAAATATTTTTGCTGCTGCGAATTTTATCAACAAAACGGGAACACATCTTACACTTCAAATTTTCGACAACGCTACGATCTGAGGGACTGCGCTCATAGCTCAGCCAAACAGAAGTTGAAAGCTCCCTATCATACTCGGCGACCCACTTGTCACAAGTGGTCGTCTTGACTCCTCTGGGCTTCTTTCCAAGAGGAGCACCCGCATCAGCGGTGCTTGGCTTTCTCTTGCCAGACGACATCACTAATGACTATGAGACAAAGGATTGAAGTGCCTTTTCTTTTTTGTACTTTGCAAAAAGGTGCGCGGACACTTTGTCCGGATATGTACAAAACATCCGGAAACTGACCGTAAACGTTCGGAAATTGTCCGATGTCCGACCGTTATTTCGCGCCCTGCACTATGTTGTCCACTGACACCACCAGTTACTAGACAATCAGCTCATGCGATAGCATTGCACGACACTGACGAACGGTACTGACGTTCTACACCTACTTCGAGTAAGTATTGAACTTGTAGCTCTTTGATCCTCTTTCTTCAGTTTATTTTTATTTTCTCCTCAGCGTCTCCTTCTTCATAAGCTGTTGACGGAGACTCCCTCGATTTAGGCTAAGGCCGGTGGAGAATCAATAAATACAAATACAAATATTGTAATATGGAAATTGTGGGCACAAGTTATGCGATCGAGTCCACCAACTAAACCAGATATTGAACAGTCAGACGTGCACAACATGCAACAAATACAAAAAAAAGGAGAGAAAACAAAAACAAAATGCCACAGCCACCAGGACCCCAGCACCAGGGCACTTGGGCAAAGGTAAAAAAAGACCCAAGTGCCATCAGTATGTGTGGTTCGTGTTGTGAGCTGTCTTTGGAGTGAAAAACTTGTCAGTGCCTTTTAGGTTCAGCCTGGTCCCATACCTCACATGGTCAGAGCATTGCTCATGACAAGCAAGGTCGAGGGTTCCAGTCCTGGTGGGTCTGGCATTTGTTTCTCTCACTTTTCAGTCACTTTCCCTGACTTTTTGCTTTGAATGGTGTTGAATATAGCACTAGTTAAACATGTTAAATGTACTTTTCCCGCTTGAAACATGTTCAGTTAGGTACTCACGTATGCAAGAGGCACCATTCTCTGTGTAGCCTGACATGCAGATACAGCGATAAGATCCCACAGTGTTATTACATATGGTGGTGGCGTCACAGGTATGGGTGCTGCCTACGCATTCATTCTCATCTGGAACATCGGGATAGTGCACAACAAAAAAGAAAGGGCGACGTGGAGACAATCATCTTAATAATGCAATGAATAAAACTATATGCGCACTCATATCAAAACCGTAGCAATGAATAAAGTTTTCCAGAACATTCTCCTGTCACAATTATCAATGGAGGCTTGTGACTGAAGGGAATAACAAGTAAGAAGGAAGCACATTCTTAAAATATAGTGGAATGCACATACATCATTAAAGTTAATGCCCTCACCAAAGTTTCGGGCAGGGCCGGCCCATCATGAGGGTAAAACAGTTAACTAGCTGACTTACCTGAGCAAGTGGTCCCATCACCGGAATACCCAGAGTTGCATGCACATTGGTAAGATCCCTGTGTATCATTGCAAGCAGCATTGGCATCGCAATTATGAGTCTTCAGCCCACATTCGTTTTCATCTAAAGTTCGACAACAACACAGACCAAGAACGTACATTCGACAAGCAGACTACAAGGATAAAATTCAATAACCCAATACCAAACAAAATGGTACTATCAAAGATTGTTGAGTTATGCACATACAGCTCTATCCACACTCAAAGACAACAACTAGCACAAAACTGACTGATGTGATACTTATAATGCAATGAATAAAACTACGTGCGCACTCATATCAAAACCATAGCAACAAATAAAGTGTTCCAGAACATTTTCTTGTCACAATTATCAATGGAGGCTTGTGACTGAAGGGAATATCAAACAATAAATACTGCTATAAAAACCGAGGCGTAGCCGAGGTTTTTATAGACAGTGTTTATATTCCCATAGAAACAAGACAGAGGTGTTTATTCTATTTATGCCTAGCTTCGTTTTTGGTCTGAAATACTGGTCCGAAATAGCTATTTTAGTATCCCAGTATACAATAGTATACTATTATGTGTAGGTAGCATTGCGTGTTCCAGACCTAAGACCCATCTTTCAACCAACATCTGCATCAACACCCTGGTGGCTGGGTGGTCAAGATAGGTGCTTGGGAATCTTATGGTTGCCGGTTCGATTCCTGCTGAAACTTCTTTCTTCTCTTCAATTTTTTTCTTTTTCAATTGGAGAGAAAATTTCTAAGTCCCTTGAAAGTTGAAAAGTTACAACCTCTAAGTGGGTAATTATAGCAAAGTACCCCAAGGCTATATACCTGCTTTATGCAGGTTGTATATATAGATCACGGGAATTAGTGGGGGTTAATATGAGCTGGGTATAAATTCCCATAAACACTGCGACATCGGTGTTTATTCTATACATAGTACAGGATTTACAGACTTGGAGTGCCTGATGATTGCGAAAGCATGACACTTGAAGTAGCAGCCAACAAGCATTGATTGTCCTTGTTGTTCTGTACTGCGCTCTGCCGCCGCGGTGTTGAGCACTGTCAGCACATTGCATGGGTACATCCTCCGGTACACTTGGATTGCCAAAAACACGGTAACAAGTAAGAAGGAAGCACATTCTTAAAATATAGTGGAATGCACATACATCATTAAATGTAATGCCCTCACCAAAGTTTCGGGCAGGGCTGGCCCATCATGAGGGTAAAACAGTTAACTAGCTGACTTACCTGAGCAAGTGGTCCCATCACCGGAATAACCAGAGTTGCATGCACATTGGTAAGATCCATGTGTATCATTGCAAGCAGCATTGGCATCGCAATTATGAGTCTTCAGCCCACATTCGTTTTCATCTAAAGTTCGACAACAACACAGACCAAGAACGTACATTCGACAAGCAGACTACAAGGATAAAATTCAATAACCCAATACCAAACAAAATGGTACTATCAAAGATTGTTGAGTTATGCACATACAGCTCTATCCACACTCAACTATGTTTTGCGTAGTGCATTGGCGTTTAATGTGTTAATGTTCTGCCCCTTTTGCCGCTTAGCGCCATGATTAGCTCACTACCAACATAGCCCGAAAATTCCATCGATTCTAAAGTTTTTAACTCAGATGGAGAGCCAAGGAGTAAATTTAAAGGAGAGAAGATCATAGTTTTACAGCTTATCCGTTCTATCCAACACTTTTAAAGATTATAAGCAGGATAATGATGAGTCAAAATGTGCAACAACTACAGTCCATTTCAAAACTATAGACGCGTACCTAGGCAAAAACCGTTATGCCAGCATCTATACCACATAAAATCTGTGATCACTTTGTGCATAAATTTTCCAAATTGGGCGTCTGTTATCCAATCCTTTAGAAACTATATGAGAGTAATTGTGGAGCGATCCTGAGCAATAATCCGAAAAATATTCTCAAAACGTTCCAACCAAATTTGAAATATTTCAAAAACCCTACGCGTCTATGGTTTTGAAATGCACTGTAGCACAAAACTGACTGATGTGATACTGACATTCAACGACCTGATGCTTAGCTGCATCACGTCTTGAATGCGCAACAGCCTACCAACTTGGAAGGTTCTAAGTCATGAAGTAACGTAAGAAAGGGGAAGGTGAACGCACTCTAGGCGAAAACAAGCTAAACATCACAGCGAACTAAGAATGCTAGCTGTGACAAGATGATGACGAAAGAAGAAGGACCGCAGCACAAAAAACTGTACTTCACAGTTTCCTTTTCCAGCGTCATCACCTCAGCTATGCCAGTTTTGTATGTGAAAAACCCTATATTAATAGCAGTTTGGTTTTGGTCTTAAATATTTTAATCGTTCAGCATCTGCCTTCACTGATAAGCTAATAGTATGTATTAGCGAAACAGCTGTCTGAAGGAGTTATCAATATCGTCACGGTCTACGAAAGTGTCCTCGCAATGATGGTGGTTGTGTGGAGGAGGGTCTAGTCGGCTGAGAGCGCAGTGTAGTGGTGTAGGTGATACTCAATATTTTCTTCAATGGCCGAGAGCTCTCTCGCACTCTGTGATAATGGGTATATAATATGTATGTGAACATAGTTAAAAAAGAAAGAAAAAGAAGTCTAATATCTCTATACTGTAATTCAACAAAATTAATATTCGGCGCATATTTATTTTCGACTATTTTCGGCCTGGTCATATTTGGCCGAAAATGTGTTGTGGCCGAAATTTAGTTTTTCAAGGTTCAGTGTGACAGTGTATACATGCGGTAGCAGTACAGGCCGAAAGATTTAATGCAGCCGAAATGGGTTTTAGCCTTGGGAGGCCGAACATGTGTCGACTAACATTACATCGTGTAGGATTCGTATTCTGTGCGAAAGCAGCACACAAGCTCTGCAGTTTGCGCTAAATGCTTTCGCTCATGGAATAAACCGGCTTAGGAATGAAGAACAGAAGGATTGTGTCTGCAGCACGCTGTATAGATAAAATAATCATCAGGCTCTCTCTCGATGGTACCAAGCCGGGGAGATATTTCTACGTTGTATGATGCGTACGGCTTCGCCTCCATTACGGTTTTAATGATCAAGAAGGCATATCCATGCTCTGCGTTTTGTTTCTATGGCAGGGTTACTTCATAGTCTCAGTTGCTTCATCTACTAGCCATTATCATCTCATGCTGTCGGTGCAGGCACAAGAGGAGTTAGATGAAGAGGAATGTCCGTTTGCCTTGGGGAATTTCCAATTCCTGATGCAGAGGGCTGCTCCATTGAAAGCAACTGTGGCCCATTGAATGCTGGAGGAGTTCAACACCTGCCAAGTGACGGAAATTGGAAAATACTACGTGGCTGACTTCTGACGCAAAAGCAGAAGCTTGAACCTTGTATCCACGTCTCCAAAAATAACGATAGAAGCATGAGACCTATTGGTCAGTGGAGTGATTGTGGCCTCACCAGCGCGGCAACTATCTGTGACTGTGGCAACCACCACTCAATGTTTGTTCCCCCTGAAACCACTCCTTCTTTCTCTCTCTCTCTCTCTTTCTCTCTCTCTGTCTCTCTCTCTCTCTGTCTCTCTCTCTCTCTCTCTCTCTTTCTCTCTCTCTCTTCTCTCTCTCTCTCACTCTCTCTCTCTCTCTCTCTCTCTCTCTCTTCTCTCTCTTCTCTCTCTCTCTCTCTCTCTCTCTCTCTCTCTCTCTCTCTCTCTTCTCTCTCCTCTCTCTCTCTCTCTCTCTCTCTCTCTCTCTCTCTCCTCTCTCTCTCTCTCTCTCTCTCTCTCTCTCTCTCTCTCTCTCTCTCTCTCTCTCTCTCTCTCTCTCTCTCTCTCTCTCTCTCTCTCTCTCTCTCTCTCTCTCTCTCTCTCTCTCTCTCTCTCTCTCTCTCTCTCTCTCTCTCTCTCTCTCTCTCTCTCCTCTCTCTCTCTCTCTCTCTCTCTCTCTCTCTCTCTCTCTCTCTCTCTCTCTCTCTCTCTCTCTCTCTCTCTCTCTCTCTCTCTCTCTCTCTCTCTCTCTCTCTCTCTTTGTCAGTTCCGGGAGGTTATGTGTTTTTAAAAAGTAGTATAAAAAATCCTGGGCAAACGATTTGTATTTGCCAATAAATCCCAAAACACCCATTGAGTAGAGAATTCATAATTTACTCACCTAAGCATTTGTAGTTGAACAGACTCCCGGTACAGTCGTTGCAGAACTGAAGCAAGGGTACACTATTGCAGGGTTGCTCACAAACATCTGCAGTCAAATCTTATGAAGATAAGAGGAAAAAAGAAGACAAAATCCAAATGGACGTCTCTAGCATACCAAAGTTCTGGTGCAAGTCATTACCTCTGATTTTGAGTGAAATTTGCTTCTAAAACTGTGTTCACAACTGGCGTGTGGACGCGGTACGCTTGCGGTTCATGCGTGCCCAAACGCGCTCTCAGGCTTTCACAAAAAAACAGCAATCCGCGTCGTATTTAGTACGTGGGACACCTTCGAGTACTAATTTTTTGACCCAGCCAGTCAAAGTGACTGGCCAGTACGCTGGTACGCGCCTGATACGCACTGAAAATTCCATTATGTTGAAATTTCCATTTTGGTGCGTTTCCGTACGCATGGCGCCCCAAAAGCCAGCAACAATACGCACAATCGCGAGGTTTCACGCATACACGTGCCAGTTGTGAACACCGCTTCATGTTCTGATGAATTATTTGTCTCTGCTCTTTGGTACGTGAGTGATTCTAGCCTACTGTGAGGAACTCGAAATGGGTCTAAGTGAAGGAGCAGAGGAGGAGCCATTACCTATCGAGGTGGCTAAAAAATCCAGTGTTTGCTGAGACCAGTTGGAGCTGTCGATTACACTCCACCCCCATTCACTAGCCCTCTGTGTGCATCTGGTAACTTGAGTGGCATAGCTCGATGGCCGGAATTATTTGCGGAGGTCCGGAATTCGATTGCTGGTTGGTTATGATGCCTGTGTCCTACACATGTGCTGCCTACTCCACGATGTTACCTGCTCCACGATGTTACCTGCTCCACGATGTTACCTGCTCCACGATGTTACCTGCTCCACGATGTTACCTGCTCCACGATGTTACCTGCTCCACAATGTTACCTGCTCCACAATGTTACCTGCTCCACGATGTTACCTGCTCCACGATGTTACCTGCTCCACGATGTTACCTACTCCACGATGTTACCTGCTCCACGGTGTAGAGTGTGCCAGATCAGAAAGTCAAGGAGAGGTAGGAGGGGGAACAGTAAAAATATATCTTTCGCTTTTTTGTGTATAGGTCACGCATTTTCGCTGTTTACTTTAGCTATATTCTTCTTTTGCACTGTTTTACCACCTCCTTACTGTACTTAATCCACTGTTCCTTTTCCCTTGCCTGTATTTCACCTGATGAGAAGGCTTGAAAGTATACTTGTGAAAGCAAAAACTTTCAAGATGTTTGTAAAGAGCCCAGCGTTTCATCAAAAGAATTTACTATTTTCGTTTCTGAAGTCCTCAGCAAATCAGCACTGGATTCGGCCGGCACTCAGCAGAGACAACATCACCGCCATGACTTCTCCCCTGAAATTGAGTTGCTGTCACGCAAGCAGAAAGATCTTCGCCTGGCGATTGGAGAGTGCAGGGATGACCAGAAAAGACAGTCACTAAAAAATCAAAGAAATCGCACAATGCATGAAATTCGTGATATCGCATCTGACAATGCCAAGAGAGCCTTGGATCGTCAAGCAGAGGAAGTGGAGCGACTGCATGATAGTGGGGCAAAGATGTTCCGTGCTGTCCAGCTACTGAAGCGAAAACCGTACAGCCAGCCTATTATTCATGATGAGAAGCAGCGGGTCGTTATCAACCCAGCAGACCAGCAGGCGTTCATCATCAAACATTATGAAAGCCAATTCCATGATAAATCCCTCCCTGACATTCCACAATTCCTAGGTGATCCCAGCCCTCTCCCCAATCGAATCACATCGGCCGAAGTTAGGAGGGCCTTCCAAAGCCTGAATAACGGGAGAGCGGCAGGCCCTGACCATCTCTCCGGAGAGTTACTCAAGTACAGTCCTCCCATTGTCGCTGAGATGACTTCCGACATCTTGAACCGAGCTATTGAGACACATGACCCACTCGAAGTTGGCAGAGGAACCCTAATACTGCTGCAGAAGCCCGGTAAACCACTAGGGCCGCTTACTAGTACGCGCCCTATCGTACTGCTCTCGGCGTTGAGAAAGACGCTGTCCCTGATTGTGCTGAAGAGGATACAGCCAGCGGTTGATCAGTACCTGGCTACATCCCAAAGTGCTTTTCGTCGTGGCCGCAGCACAAGTGATGTGGTGTGGTGCCATAGATGGCTATGTAGTATGACGCAGCGATTCAATACGTCCATCCACATATTGGGAATTGACATGAGTAAAGCATTCGACACTGTCCGCCGCGATGTCCTGATGAGGATCCTTGAATCCTTCCTCCAAGAAAGTGAGCTTCGAATGATCCGTATACTGTTGACTGAAACCTGGCTTGAACCTCGTGTGAAAGGTGCATCGAAAAGCTCCTTCAAGACAAATATCGGAGTCCCTCAAGGGGACAGTCTCTCTCCAGTGCTTTTCACCATTTACCTGGAGGCTGCTCTCCGGGACCTACGACAGGAGCTGCCATCTCGCCCTGCTGTGGACAATGACCTGCCGTTGGATATCGCATACGCGGACGATGTTGATTTTGTGAGCCGGGATGAGACGTTTCTCAGTGAAGTTGAACAACAAGCTCCAGCAGTTCTTGCGAGATGGAACCTGAACGTTAATCCCTCCAAGACAGAGCATACCACCGTCGCCCGATTTCCCGATAGGAACCAAGAAACGTGGCGTACTGTCCGCAAACTAGGCTCCCTCCTGGGTGACGCCGAAGATGCTGCTCGGAGGCGTCAACTGGCCGCCGCCGCCTTCAACTCACTCCTCAAGATCTGGACCCGGAGGCGCCAGATCAGTGAAGGTCTTCGGCTGAGGCTCTACAGCGCCTACGTCATCCCAGTCCTTACCTACAACTGCGGCACTTGGGGCCTACCGATGTCGGAGCTCGCGCGAATGGATTCGTTCCACAGGACCCAGCTAAGGAGCATCATCGACATGCGGTACCCTAAACGAATTAGCAATGACACTCTGTATAAGCGCTGCGGAGCTGAAACGAATTAGCAATGACACTCTGTATAAGCGCTGCGGAGCTGTCCCCATCAGCGAGACGATCACAAGGCAGCGCTACAGTCTCGCTGGCCATATCTTTCGTTTGGCCCCAACTGCTCCTCCACAGTTGGCAGTGGATATGTATCTTCGCCTGGCCAACGACGAGGGCACTGAACGCTTCAGGGGTCGACCTCGGACGACTTTGGTAACGGTCTTGCAGACGGAACTGTTATCATGGCATGGACTTACCCTCCACCAGCCGCTAGATGTTGACACAGTCCGCACAATGGCAGCGGACCGACAGGCATGGCGTGGAGCCCGCCCCACCTAACAGGACTGACCAGACATGTTGTATGCATATTCTATTTTATTTTATACTTTGGATGAAGTTTTCCATTAGTCATATTGGTGTTGTTGCTAACGGCTTTTGTTGACGTCACTTCTGTCATTTTATTGTATCGTATTACTCTTCAGACATCAATCCTGAATGGCATAAGCGAAAGTGGCACCCCCGCCACCTACGCGGACATGCTTTTAATAATAATAATAATAATATGTAAAGAGCCTGAAGGGTGTCTTTTTTATGAGTATTTTTTAAGGCTTTTCTATTTTCAGTTCACAGCCTGTCCCATTGACTACTACGGTTAACGTTTTGATTTTAACATTCATACCATCCAGCCCAAGAGACTAAATCAATGCTCTAAGCCTTCACAGCACTCAACGGCTTTCGTACAGCCGCCGGTCCAAAGGTTATGACTTCATTATTGTATGCACGGCTCTGGAACATGCCACCTCAGCTGGGCCCTATACCACTTAACACTAACTACCGACTGTGTTTGTACATAATAATATATCACATCTATTTTTCAACAAAGCCGACAGCATTGCCTGGAGCTGCATTGCATCCTTCTCTCACTTCTATAACCTATATCCCGAAATTCAAAACTCCCTCTGCCATTGCTTTTGCCCACACATGATATACCAACCCCATGACTTTCGCAATTGCAATGCCTGTTTATCTTCTTGTTTTCTGTTGATATAATATCCTCGTAGTAAAGAAAAGGACATAGGAACAACAAGTGAAAAATTTCCTTGGAGACAAGAATGTACTTCGAAGTAATTATACTCAGAACTAGTACACACTTCAGGCTCTTGAACATTTGGAAAGTTTTCCTAGTAGTAGTATACTTTCATTGCCATATCATCAGGTGGAATACAGGCAAAATCAAATGAACATGGACAATGGATTAAAATACTAACTGCGAACTACAAGTTTTACCTATAATATGTTCTTGCTTCACTCTTTCCCGAGAGCATGGGATTTTGATCAAGAGATCCCTTTGAAAGACCAGGAGACCTAGAGACCTCTGGGTATGCTTAAAATACAATAAATTCACAATACACACACTAATTGTCGTCCACAGTGACATCCTGGCTAGAGTACAAACTGCAATCACCATTGCTGTACACAGTGACATCCTGGCTAGAGTACAAACTGCAATCACCATCGCTGAACACTGTGACATCCTGGCTAGAGTAGAAACTGCAATCACCATCGCTGCACACTGTCAATAGTGGGAAGAAGTGAAGTAAGTGTATGCTCCGACTCTCGTAGCTCGCGCTTCCTGCTGACTGACTTGACACTTGACTGACTCACGACTGCGTCTGGAGCACACAAGAAGCCTGTCGAACCTTCCATTCGGCAAACCTGCAAGAAAGAACTAGTCCCTGCTCAGTACACTGTGTTTGGGGGAATTTCCCTTTCATCAGTTTGCGCAGTCGTGAGTCAGTCAAGTGTCAAGTCAGTCGGCAGGAAGCCCGGGCCCCGACGCTCGGAGCAGACGCTCTCTTCACTAATCACCGCCGATGTCACAACATTTTCAGCAGGAAAAGAGTATGAAGAACAAGAATATGTAGAAAGGTGATGACTGTGGAGACGATGATCTTAATAATGCAATGAATAAAACTAGTATGTGCACTCATATCAAAACCATAGCGACGAATAAAGTGTTCTGGAACGTTTTCTTGTCACAAATATCAATGGAATTCGTGACTAAAGAGAATGATGAACTGCAATAGGATTTATACACTTGGAGTGAAAATTGATAATTGTGACAAGAAAACGTTGTGGAGTACTGTATTCGTCGCTATGGTTGTGATATGAGTGCACATCTAGATTTATTCATTGCATTATGAAGGACAAGAAAGTATTTTGTTTTGGAATGACAATTGATCATCACTTTATATCAGTACACTTATCAACTATTGTTAAAGCAGAATTTTCCGATCGTGTAATATTTTCGGTATTCTCCAAAATCGGCAGGTTCGGTGCCGAATCGGTGGAGGGAAACTCTCGGTAAGCCCGCTTTCCACGTAAGTGAACTAGTACTATGCCGACATTTTTGGTGCGTTTTATTTTCCGTAAAAAATATCGGCACCGAAGCTACCGAAAATAAAACACCGCCGAAAATTTCTGCTTTTACCGTACTGTGTCCAATCTTCTACGGAGCACTTACTGTTAGCAAGATATTTCTTCATGACATCACTGTCTTGAAGATAGGAGACTTGCGAAAAATCTCTGGGAAGTTTCAATGTACACAATCGATGATCCAGCGCTAATTGGTTTCCCAACACTCTGGGCATATAAGTATTGATAACAACAACAACACACACACAATAGCTGTAATCGTTACCAGTAGAGTAGTGTGTATCACCAGCCTTACAACCAGCCTCACAACCAGCCTCACAACCAGCCTCACAACCAGCCTCACAACCAGCCTCACAACCAGCCTCACAACCAGCATCACAACCAGCCTCACAACCAGCCTCACAACAAGCCTCACAACCAGCCTCACAACCAGCCTCACAACCAGCCTCACAACCAGCCTCACAACCAGCCTCACAACCAGCCTCACAACCAGCCTCACAACCAGCCTCACAACCAGCCTCACAACCAGCCTCACAACCAGCCTCACAACCAGCCTCACAACCAGCCTCACAACCAGCCTCACAACCCTTGGTGTTTGCAAGGCTGCATTTGTGCATGGAATAAATACCAGGTAAAGGCAATATAGGCAAAAAAACACTCGATCAGCTCACACACACACACACACACACACACACACACACACACACACCTGGTCCTGGTCCTGGTCCAGGTATACACTGCCATGTAGGTCACGTGTTTCTCGTTGAGCGAGACGGAGACGAGAGGAGACATGAGCGTTGGTGACGGGATAAGTCGTTTCGCCTTTTGAAACGCCTCTGGCAATTCTGACATTGCAATTGGAACTTGTCCCTTTCATCAGCAGTTGGGCGCCTGGTGGATCGGTTGCAGTTGTGGATAGCAAAGCCCCGGATCGACTTACAGCAGCGTTCACAAATGGGGCAGTGAGCGGTACAGCACGGTTTCCGAATACATAGGCGTACAGGTGAAGAGCTTGTGGCATTGGCAACATTCGGGGCAGAATTGGACTGGACACAGCGATGGACTGCAATGCCACCCGCACTCCGCAACCATCGGTGACACTGGGAGCACTGGCGGCTGTTGGCTTGCTGCTGGACTGGTTTACGCCGTTCCATGATGCACTTGTGGCGGGCGATATCTTGCTGCCGAGCAAATGCACGCCGGCACACCTCGCAGACTATCTCCCGAGCCGGTTTCTGAGCTGGTTGTATTGCTCGATAAGCTTGCCGCCACTCAGATCGTTCCTGCGCTGTGTCAAACCATGACTCGTCGGCGATGTTTATTCGTCGCAGGTCGACCCTAATTGCGTCTCGCCATCGTTTCCGCGGGCCACACGCTGGGCGTGGTGGCAGCAATGTGCCAAACAACAACATCCGCGGCATCCGCTCCTCAGGCATGCGTACCACGTGCCCAAGCCATTCCAGTCTTCTCTGCATAAGGCGGTCGGGGATATCCAGTGGGTTTGCTGCATTCCATGTTTTCAGAATGGTGTCCTTGGCTATCTTCAAGTCCCACACATCCCGCTGTGCAACACTCATGATGGAAAGAAGCGACCGGTAGTAGAAGGTCGTGATCCGTTGCACATCACTTTGCAGCGGTACCCACGTCTCCGCACAATAGAGCAGTAAGGACAGAACACAGGCCTCGAAAACCAGGCGCTTGGTGCGTAGAGAGAGATTGTGGTCATTGAAGACAGCATGACGGAGCGCTCCAAAAGCACGGGAGGCAGATGAAACACGGGTCGATACATCTTTGTGAGATCGGCCAGAATCATGGATAACAGCACCCAGGTATCGGAACTCACGCACACATTCCAATGTGCCATTCTTCACAGGAAGAGGAAGTCGGTCATCATCCGTGATACCATAGCCAACCGCCATAAATTTGGTCTTGTCCAGATTGACGGTCAGACCAAATGCAGACGAGACATCGATGAACATATCCAGAGCAAGAGCAGCAGCAGTACGGGTAGTGGCAAACAGTGCAGAGTCGTCAGCGAACTGGCAGTCGTTGATGGTAGTCTGATCGTCAGTACGCTTTCTCTTGAAATAAAGCGAGCCCCCAGGATTGAATGCCAACGGGACGCCGATACCAGGCACATGCTCGACCACTCTGGACCATCTCTGGAAAACAGCCCACATGAATATGTTGAATAAGACTGGTGCCATACAACAGCCCTGCCGCAAACCACTCTTCACTGCAATGGGTTGGATGGGTGTTGACCCGATGGAGAGAGTAGCCGACATGGAGGTGTGAAACGACTTGATGATGTTTACGATGTTACTAGGGACCCCTGCCTTCGCGAGAACCAGCCACATGCATTCACGGTTTACTGAGTCGTACGCCTTACGTAAATCAACAAAGACAACGTATCCCGGGCAGCGATGTTCGTACAACTTCTCCAGGACTTGGCGAACTGCAAACACCATGTCTGTGCAAGATCGACCCTTACGAAAGCCGCACTGGGAGTCGGGTAGAATATTCTCCGCAATAATCTGTAATCTGGACTGAAGTACTCGAGCAGCAACTTTCCCAACAACATCCAGGAGTGATATGCCACGCCAATTATCACACAATGAGAGGTTACCTTTCTTTGGGATTGGCACAAGATTGCAGTCTACCCATTCCTGCGGAACAGCCTCGTCATCCCAGACATGGTGCAACAGATCCAACAGTGCCTCCATGAAACTCTCACCACCCGCTTTGACCAACTCAGGCAGGATAGCTGAGGCGCCAGCGGCCTTGCCGTTGCTGAGTTGTCGAATAGCTCGCGCCACCTCTGCTGCATCCGGCTTGCCAGCGATGTTCTGGTTGATAGGCTGCTGGTCTATTTCGTCAATGGCACATGGATCAAATGTGCTAGGGATGTTGAGTACGCCATCGAAATGTTGGTACCATCGTCCACCTTGTTCCTCCACAGATTTGCAGATGTTGCCATTTGCATCCCTAATAGCGGTAGTAGACACAGGGCGTAATCCCTGCTTGGCAGCCTGCATATCCTTAACACATGCCCACACCCGTGAGGAGCTGAACCGTGCACCATCAAGAGATTTGGCTTTGTTGGTGAACCAGGAGTTCTTGGCAGAGCGGACAGCAGCTCTTGCCTTACTCCTGGCAGCCTTGAACCTGTTCCACGTGTCATCAGACCTGCCACTTGAAATCCATTCTTGATATCGCTGATTCCTTTCATTCAACAAGGGTTCGAGGGTATCTTTGCTCTCAGTAAACCAATCTGGTTGACGACGTTTCTGAAAACCGAGGGTCTCCTCTGCAGACTCGGTGACCGCGGTGCGCAACCTCGACCATTTGCATTCAACGGTGGTATGTTCATTCGGCTGTTGCAGACTGTTTGTGAGGCATTCACGATAGACATCAGCAACTCGTGTGATGTTTCCAGATGAGTCAGTGCTGTGGACATCCTTCAAACGTGCAACATCAAACCGCTTACATTTCTTCGTTTGCACACAATGCGAGCGGCGCTGCAGACGGCCTACTACAAAACGCGCAGCCACCAGGTTGTGATCGCTCCCACATTCCGCACTTCTTATAACTTGAGCATCAATACATTGGTGGTAGTCAGCTTGTGACGTGATGACAAAATCAATACAATGAAATCTCTTTGACCTTGGATGTTGCCAGGTCCACTTCCTATCCTCTGTCTTGCAGAACCATGTGTTACACACCATCGCCTGAATAGTTGCAAGAAAATCCAACAGCTCACGTCCTGCAGAGTTCATCTCACCCACTCCATGTGGGCCCCGTACACGTGACCACTCATCAGCGTCAGCATGCGTACGGGATCCAACTCTGGCGTTGAAGTCACCCAACAGAATAAACTTTTCTGTGCCCATCCGTGGCAAAGTCGCTTGCAAGTCCGCAAAGAACTGTTCCTTGGCAATTCGCTTGCTGGCGAACGTCGGAGCATATGCGGAGATGACAGTATACCATACCGGTGAACACCCATGAATATCAAACTTCAATCGCGCTGACACAATCCGAGAGCTGCGGGCGTCGTATTGACAACCGCCGTCACGCCACGCGCGAGCTGCATTTCCCAGCAACAGAATCGCAACACCTTCACCCCTTCGACACGACTCTCCCTCGCCAGGTGAAGGTCTTCCAGACGAAATTAGCACTGCTCCGTCGATGTTGTAGACGTTCTTATCCAGCCAGTAGGTCTCTTGAAGACAAACTATTTCCAATCCAAGACGTTTGAAAATTTGAATTATCCGATAAATTTTCTTGTCGTCAGCCACTTGATGTCGAGTGGATGCTGTTTGGACGGGTCCTTCACTTTCCAGCAACGAGCGGACATTCCACGTCCCAACGCTCAGGGTAAACTCCTTTCGTCTCCTACTGCGTGCGGTAGATGGCTCCATTCGCGGGCTTGCAAGGCCTCGCGATGGGTCCAACAGCGGAAAACAGAGTCAGAGTGACGACACCCGAAGTTCGTCCTGGAATCTGCTCTGTTGACTTTCCGCTGTGGACTTCTACTGGGAACTGTCCCAGGGACGACCCTGGAAGCCCAGAGTCGTCCCTGAGAACTGAAAACTAACAAAAACTAATCAAACGATGAGAGCTACAAAATTCCTAACTGACTCCTGTGGTACACTACTACACACACACACACACACACACACACGCACACGCACACGCACACACACACACCAGTGTTGTGCTGTGTGTGTGTTCCATCTGCACTGCACAGCTCGGCATGGCACTGCATAGCAGCACAGCACAGCACAGCACAGCACACAGCACGGCACAGCACAGCACAGCACAGCACAGCACAGCACAGCACAGCACAGCACAGCACAGCACAGCACAGCACAGCACAGCACAGCACAGCACTACACGGCACAGCACTACACAGCACTACACGGCACACACAGCACAGCGCAGCGCAACACGGCACAGCATGCACAGCACAGCGAATATAAGGCTGAAACTGGTAACAATGAAAGCCTATTTCTCAGAGTCATAATTATTTAAAATAGGCCGGAACGTACCTTGCCAGAATGCCAGAATGCCAGAATGCTCACACTCACAAGTCAGTGAGCTCTGCCTGACACAAACAGCTCTGGCATTACCCTACATTAGAGTGCTCACACACTGCAAGAGCAGAGGTGACACACTCAGCACACAGTATTTTGTTAAGCCATTCAAGCCTACTTTGGGCTTAATGTGAGTACAGCTTTTAAATTGACTTACAGTCTTTCAAAGCTAGCTATGCTCTGAAACAGTCCGTGTGGTATACGATTCAAATTATTGCCTTGCAAAAACCTGAAAAGAAAAAAAGGAGAGAAAATGGAGAGAATTTTCGTCTGATGATCGATTACGTTCGTGAAACTCGGAGTTACGAAATCGCAACTGCTCCGGCGTTCTTCTGTCTGGTTATCCTGCTCTTTGCCTTCGGCAAATTGAGCCCTCTACGGACGGTGGATGAACTGTACCAATACAGTTGTGAACGGTACCATTGTCGGCTGTTCATTAATTAATACAACAACTTTTCTAGACTCGGGTGGAGAGCCAAGGATGAATTTCTAAGAAGAAAAGAAGACCAAAAGACCTACAAGTTACTCTGTCATATGCACTGACACCATCAGTTACTTTACAATCAGCTCATGTGATAACATTGCACGATACTGACCGGCGGACTGGCGTTCTACACCTAACTGGCAATCAGCTCTAACGTCCTTTACAGCTGAGCCTGCCAGTGCGTGCTTGTCTTGGCTGCGCTCACCTCCCCCTCCTTACGTTATTTCTACAACTTTATTGGTGAGTGTAATGGCTACTGATGGTAGCCATGTGTCGGCTGAGAGCTAATGGAGGACAAGAGGAGGAAAGAGTATTGCATTATAACCTCAACTAACTAGTTTTAACATCACCAGGCACACAAAATAGTACTTACAGTGTATGCAATTTACTTGTGTTTCTCAACAGCCCTTCAGGTAGATGGCTTAGTTGGTTGTGTTGCAAATCCCTGACAAAAGTAAACGAGGGAAAAGAAGCACATTGCATATCTACTCAATTTGTTATTTGAAAAGAAGCGTGAGAATGCAGCACAGCTAGCGGTTATGCATAACGCGTGTAGTGTGAACCTTTGCAGTGTATCTGAGAATGGTAGCAGTAGATGAATGTGGCAGCTGTGAGTGCGTGTGAACAAAAACTGGTGAGTGCGTATTATTTAAAAAGTGTGAGTGCTACAACATTTTCTTTTTGCTTGCATAGAACAGGGTCACGTGTGCGAATATATACAGCTTCCAACACCTGCAACTGCTTAAAGAAACGCGCGCGACAAATAACACTAAACCAGGAATCGTCAAACAACTTACGACAATCCGGACTGGACACCAAATGCTTGTAGATGGCAGACTTGCTCTTGTCGATGTCGAACTCCTCCTCGTCCGTATCACTCTCATCCTCCACTTCCCGTTCCTGCTCACCCTTACTTTCCTCCTGACCATCCTGTTCATCCCCATCATCATCCTCCATCTCCATCTCCTCATGCCATCGCTTCTTTCTCCTTGACGTGTTCACTGCTGCGCCCGTACTTTCACCTGCCACTACTGGTTCCGCCTTCTCCATTTTTCTCAGTCGTGTCTCCGCTAGTCTCTGGCTTCTCCTCAGATTCGTTTTTCCTCCATTTTCATTTCGTTCTCCTGGTGATCTTTCCGTTACCGCCATCGGGTTTGTTAATGAACGGTCGTCCGGTGGTCTCCCATGCCGTGTTGTTGTCGTCAAGAGTGACACCAGATTCGTGTGTTGCGCTACTGTTGAGTCCGGTGTTGTATCCGTTTCTGGTTGTGTTGTAATACTGACAGGCGTAGTAGTAGGCAACGGGTGTTTTCTCGGCCTCCCACGCTTTGGCCTGCCTGCCCTGGCCGCTTTTGACAACAAGGACAATGGGACGTGTTGTTTGATACGTTCGGACAAGTGTTGAAGCGTCCTGCCAACATACCGACTACCGCACTGTCGGCATTCAAAATGATAAATGAGGTGACTCAAATGATGGGTCGGCAGGACGTCCTTCAACACCGTGAACGAACGTATCGTGGTGAAGACAGTTACTACATTCACTGCATAGTACGTCTTCTGGACAATAGACTTGACAATACGACTGACCTTTGTCGACTCCGCGCCTTTCCAAGGCAGGCACAGGAAGACACGACAAGGAGCCGGGCCGATTGTCAGTTCCTTACGGGGCGCATTGTTCGTGAGTAGTTTCGCTAATAGTGATCCTGGATATCCGTTCTTAAGAAAGACAGAGCGAAGGAAATCAAGTTCTGCTTGCAGTTTACTCTCGGAGCAAATGCGTCTTGCCCTGTCAGCTAAGTTTCGGACTAGATTGGTCTTGTATTGCGAAGAGCAATATGAATCGTACATAATATACTGACCAGTGAATGTATCGTAAGCCTACATTCACTGGTCAGTATATTATGTACGATTCATATTGCTCTTCGCAATACAAGACCAATCTAGTCCGAAACTTAGCTGACAGGGCAAGACGCATTTGCTCCGAGAGTAAACTGCAAGCAGAACTTGATTTCCTTCGCTCTGTCTTTCTTAAGAACGGATATCCAGGATCACTATTAGCGAAACTACTCACGAACAATGCGCCCCGTAAGGAACTGACAATCGGCCCGGCTCCTTGTCGTGTCTTCCTGTGCCTGCCTTGGAAAGGCGCGGAGTCGACAAAGGTCAGTCGTATTGTCAAGTCTATTGTCCAGAAGACGTACTATGCAGTGAATGTAGTAACTGTCTTCACCACGATACGTTCGTTCACGGTGTTGAAGGACGTCCTGCCGACCCATCATTTGAGTCACCTCATTTATCATTTTGAATGCCGACAGTGCGGTAGTCGGTATGTTGGCAGGACGCTTCAACACTTGTCCGAACGTATCAAACAACACGTCCCATTGTCCTTGTTGTCAAAAGCGGCCAGGGCAGGCAGGCCAAAGCGTGGGAGGCCGAGAAAACACCCGTTGCCTACTACTACGCCTGTCAGTATTACAACACAACCAGAAACGGATACAACACCGGACTCAACAGTAGCGCAACACACGAATCTGGTGTCACTCTTGACGACAACAACACGGCATGGGAGACCACCGGACGACCGTTCATTAACAAACCCGATGGCGGTAACGGAAAGATCACCAGGAGAACGAAATGAAAATGGAGGAAAAACGAATCTGAGGAGAAGCCAGAGACTAGCGGAGACACGACTGAGAAAAATGGAGAAGGCGGAACCAGTAGTGGCAGGTGAAAGTACGGGCGCAGCAGTGAACACGTCAAGGAGAAAGAAGCGATGGCATGAGGAGATGGAGATGGAGGATGATGATGGGGATGAACAGGATGGTCAGGAGGAAAGTAAGGGTGAGCAGGAACGGGAAGTGGAGGATGAGAGTGATACGGACGAGGAGGAGTTCGACATCGACAAGAGCAAGTCTGCCATCTACAAGCATTTGGTGTCCAGTCCGGATTGTCGTAAGTTGTTTGACGATTCCTGGTTTAGTGTTATTTGTCGCGCGCGTTTCTTTAAGCAGTTGCAGGTGTTGGAAGCTGTATATATTCGCACACGTGACCCTGTTCTATGCAAGCAAAAAGAAAATGTTGTAGCACTCACACTTTTTAAATAATACGCACTCACCAGTTTTTGTTCACACGCACTCACAGCTGCCACATTCATCTACTGCTACCATTCTCAGATACACTGCAAAGGTTCACACTACACGCGTTATGCATAACCGCTAGCTGTGCTGCATTCTCACGCTTCTTTTCATGTTACTCTAGCTATATAACTGGTAATTTGTTATTTGTTTGCATATTAGTTTTAGTGTTTACCCTACTGATGGGCCTGGCCCGACAAAATAGAGATAAAAAGACTGCCTCGTATGCCACTCATGTCACACCAACAGAACTAAAATGATGTAATTCGTGACATTTGGTGAACATTTCAATTTTCAAATGGCGTTTGGAACAAAGAGAATGTGTTTGAATGTGTGAGATGAGTTGAAGGACCCTAATGCATGCACTTAGAACAGGCAAAAGAAAGCACTATACCCTAGACGTTTCTGAGATATTGCCATTATTTTCATGTCAGCAATTGCTTGTTGGCGTCATTTGGTTTCTGCACTGCAATTCATATTTCAATTCTTCTTTGGATGTGGGAGTGACCACCCCTTTTTATGCTGCTCCCGTGTAGAGTTTATGTTTTCTTCATCCAGTAAAGTAGTAGAGGAAAAGAAATAATATGAGAAAGGATGTAGGGAGAAGACTTTGAAAGGGAAAACGTTTGTTCCAGTCCTGAATAATCAATGTTCTGTGTTGTTTGTGTCTAGTAATGCGTTCCAGCGCACAGCAAAAAAAATCACAGTTGTGAGGGTGGCAGAGCTCCTCCAGTCCACACGGATTTTCTGCTCACAAGCTGTTGTTCTTCAACTACATTTTAAATGTGAAACTCGGGGAGTGAGCCAATAATAAATGTAGAAAGGAAAAGGACATAATTATGGAAACGAGTTTAGAGTAACTCTCCATCACTGTAACCAGATACTAATACAGTCAGAAAGTGCAATAACTAGGCACAAAACTGACAGAGTACTGAGACATTCGATGTCCTGACACCTAACTTCGGCACATCTCCGTTGTGCTAACCAACAGCCTTCCAACTCGGAAGGTTCAATGTTATGGAAAAACCAAAGAGGGGACGGTAAGCGCAACGAAAACGAGCACAAGCTACAGTCCCAACGGAACAAAGAATGTCGATTGTTACTGGACGATCACGAGACCAGTAGGATACTTGACAAAGCGGTCTAACTACAATTCGAAGCAGCAAAGCACCACACGACCCAACTTGGGTGGCTCATAAATATCAAAGATAAGTAAAGAAGGGGGAAGCTTTGCAAAAAACGAATTATACAAGCCAAACGCCAAACTCCTACACTAGTACTCTTCATGCATGACATTGTGATGGACTAGTTGACTACAAAACAAGTTGTTTCACACGACGTACGTTTCGCCGTATGGTTCGTGATGGCTCATCAGGTGTGCAATTTGAAACTCGGATGTTGAGCCAATAATAAATATAGAAAGGTCTTCGGTCTTTCCATAACCTTGAACCTTCCGAGTTGGAAGGCTGTTGGTCAGCGCTACGGAGATGTGTTGAAGCTAGGTGTCAGGACGTCGAATGTCTCAGTAATCTGTCAGTTTTGTGCCTAGTTGTTGCACTTTCTGACTGGATACAGTATCTGGTTACAGTGATGGAGAGTTACTCTAAACTCGTTTCCATAATTATGTCCTTTTCCTTTCTACACATTTTAAATGCTCACAAATACACGTTCTGCTTTCTCTTCAGGCGGTTTCCAGGCAAGAGCAAACTGGAACAAAAACAATGAATTATCTTAAAAGTGAAGCATGTTGGTTATAAATTGGCGCAAAGAATACCAGCAAAAAGAAACAATGATAAGCGCATGAACCATAGACTTATGAGATAGTGGTAGCCACTTGTTTGTTGTGTGTGTTTGTTTAGCTTTATTTTACTTCAGCAGAAGCACAGGCAAAATCTGCCTTCTCACTGAGCATGTTGCCATAGTTCTCGCAACATAATTAAGATAGTGATGATAATAAGAAAAAGGAGGAAGAGGAAAGTGCAATCATGAACAAAGCACAAAGAGAAGACCGGAAACAAATCAATGAGGGAGTACTACAAGTAGAAAGGAAAAGGACATATGGAAATGAGTTAAGAGTAACTCTCCACCACTGTAACTAGATACTATATACAGTCAGAAAGTGCAACAACTAGGCACACAACTGACAAGTAACAAATTTGAATTTGATGAAGTGTTTCATGAAAATGATGCAATGGATCCAAAGGTTCCGGGTTGAAGAAATGTTGACAGTTACGAGTCCTTGAGATCTTACGAGAGGATAAGAGAGTTTAAGATATCGTTTGCAATTGCTTTCTTAAATACAGCAGGAATTGTAATGGAGGGCACATCAGGCGGCAGGCAGTTCCAGTACACACTACCGATGAACTGAACAGTGGATCGACCGGAAGGACCTGGCAAAAACGGGACACGAAGCAGACGTGAAGCCTGACCACGCGTGGCTCGATCATTGACCAAATCAAAGAAAGTGCTGAAAAGACTACTGATCATTTCAGCACCAAGACATCTGTGAACAAACAATAACAGTTTTTGCTGATATATCTTCAGCGACGAGTACCGGTATTCCATTGGTAAAGTCTTTGCTCCCCACACTGGAGCTCACATGGGCTTGCGAATAGCTGGTTTGGAGGTGACAGCGTTGCGAATAACCATGAGTTATCAATGTCTCCTCAAGAAGGTGATGAGGACTGTTCGAGCACGGTCTTAGAGGAATCAGGCATTACAAAATATACTTACTACCCCCCCCCCCCGGGGCCAGCCACAAAACTTACAGGTAAAATAACTCTGGTTGGTTTCGAAACAGTCCCTCCGGTAGTCGACTAAGAGAATTGTTTGGTACAGCTCTGAAAACAGAAATGGCATATACATGAAGTGACTTGGAGACAAACATTTGATTACAGTGGAGATTGGACATAACGACAAATCGAGTTAAGCGACAAAATTCTGTTGCCCAAGTCGTTTAGCAAGTAATTTTCTGTACGAAAATAACGACAGATCGAAATTACTGACACTTTTTGGTGACCGAAGACCTGAGAATACATCGTTTATAACGACTTTCCTCTTGTATCAGGCGGAGTGGCATGTATGCGACATGCCTGTGTCACATGCGCAGACCTCTGGGTCTGAGTCACTCTACGCATGCTGGTCATTGCATATAGCCAGTGTAGCCGCAGTGCAGCGGTGCAGTTGCTATGCATGACTTTTGGCTTGAACTATGCATGCAAGACACATGCACATACACATATGAAATCCATGTGCATTATATTATGTTATGAATATGTTACCTTTATTTTACTTCACCATACGTACAGGCATAGCTGCCTTCTTGCTGTGGATCATAAATGATGCCACAGCTCCTAGGCTGTGATGAAAAATATAATAGTATGATAGATTAATATGATCAAATATGAACAGCATGGGAAGTAAAAAGATGTCATGACTGTCAGCAGGACAATTATAAAAAATACCATGCAGCAGTGTATTTTATGTGTGTTGTGGTTGTACATGTAGATAATATTGATGATGGACAGGGGACAGAACGTAATAGTGTGTCAATAGCTAATGGAGTGAAATGAGATCAAGATCTGAAAGAGATTTTTTGAAATGAACAAGGTTTGTTAGAGAGCGGGTAGCATCGGGTAGAGAGTTCCATGTGGTGCTGCACAGAAATTGGATAGAACATCTCCCAGCAGGATTAGGTAGGAACGGGATGCGAAGTAAATTATGCAGCTGCCCACGGGTGACTATACGATCAGCAAGTGGTATCTGAGGCTGGGCAAGTAATACAAAATAATCTTGAAAAAGAGAGCTTGCAGATCCGTGTATAGACCGGAAAACAAATACAAGCAGCTTCTGTAAAAGGACTTGGTGAAGTGATGGCATGGATAACTTAGCAAGCAAGGGAGCTGTTGCAGTGCGGCGGGGAGCCTAAAACACAGCACGAATACCATGCAGACTTATGCAGTTTTACAAGGCAATTTAGCAGAGACCGTGAAAGCGCAGGAAAGAAGCAATTAGAGGCGTAACAGAGATGAGATAGTATCATAGACATATACCACATTCGACGTGCCTTCAGTGACAAGGCCCGGCCATGCCTCCAAACCTGTCCAGTGGTCGCCGCCAATTTTTTCACGAGAAACTCGATGTGGGGTGCCCAAGTTAGCAGGTCATCAATCAACACACCGAGGTATTTTGCCACGTGTGTGACTTCCAGAACACTGTTGTTGCAGGTGACGAGTGACGGAGCAGCGTCAAACGCACCTCTGGGACGAGTAAACACCACTTGAGTCTTAGCTGAGTTCAATAGCAAACCTTTGTCCGCAAGCCAGGACGAACGATGGGTGACTGCTGTCGTGAGCACAGCACAAACAACAGCAGGGTCACGGTCGGAGTAATCAACAACGATATCATCTGCAAACTCTTCATTGCAAACTTCACGTGGAAGCACAGACGCTATATCACTGATGTAGAGAACAAATAAGAGAGGTCCAAGTGCACTTCCTTGAGGAACACCTCTGGAGCATGGAACTGGCGTTGAAATCTGGTCTTTGATTTTGACACACTGTTGATGTTCGGACAGGTATGAACAAAACCACTGCAGCACCACACCACCAAGCCCAAACTCAAAGAGGATTTGAATAAGCTGGCTTTGGTCAACTCTATCAAATGCCTTGGACATGTCAACCATGACGATGCTCGTGTGCTTGCGTTCAGATTTAACTAATAACCAACGGTTGGTGGCAAGGATCAGGGCATCCTCGGTAGAATGACCCTTACGGTATGCAAACTGAGATGGAGGGAGTAGACAATGACGACTCAAGAAGTGTCTCAGCTGTTACTCCAATATACGTGAGACGATAGGTAACAATGAAACAGGTCTATAGTTCCTTGCTGATGTCGCATCGCCTCCCTTGAAGAGTGGGCTCACATGTGATCGCTTGAAAGAAACTGGCACCTTTCCACTGGATAGGGATCTGTTTATAATACGAGTTACATATGGACCTAGGGTGACTGAGCAGCGGCTAAGTACTATACCAGGAACATTATGCCCATGCATATCTGCTTTGATATACATATTGCATACTAAATGTAAAGATCGGGTTTCAAGTGACAGAGCGAATATAACGACATTTTGTTTTCTCCCAATGGAGTGTCGTTATATCCAATCTCCAGTGCATTACAATAAAAAACGATCGACTGCGCACTCATTCTATACACATTTCGATTCACAGGTGGTAGGTGAGTTCCAAAAACGTTTTTTAGAAAATAGTTTAAAGTTCCTATCACCTTTGCCATCATGTGCAGGACTGGTGATCATGTGATCATGTGATCATGTGCAGGACTGGTGATCATGTGATCATGTGATCATGTGCAGGACTGGTGATCATGTGATCATGTGCAGGACTGGTGGAAGCAGTTTTGGATTGGTCCGGTCATACCCCAGTCTTTCATGCAGTGTATGATATGGAGGGTATACACATGACTTTCATACAGTTTGTGTATGATATGGAGGGTAGTCACATGACTTTCATACAGTTTGTGTATGATATGGAGGATAGTCACATGACTTTCATACAGTTTGTGTATGATATGGAGGGTATACACATGACTTTCATACAGTTTGTGTATGATATGGAGGGTATACACATGACTTTCATACAGTTTGTGTATGATATGGAGGGTATACACATGACTTTCATACAGTTTGTGTATGATATGGAGGATAGTCACATGACTTTCATACAGTTTGTGTATGATATGGAGGGTAGTCACATGACTTTCATACAGTTTGTGTATGATATGGAGGGTATACACATGACTTTCATACAGTTTGTGTATGATATGGAGGGTATACACATGACCTCCTCAGCAGTATACATACAGTGGTGGGCAAAACGTTGGTCCGACCATGGCCTGACCAGCCGGACCAGTTCTGCTATGCCTGCATGTGTGTTTAGAATGAGTGCGCAGTTGATCCTTTTTATTGCTACACGAACTAAACCATTCATTTATCTTGGAACATGTTTACATGACATGCTGGCAGTGGCGGCAATATTGCTAAGTTCTAGGCAAGCAGCATGGGTGTGTATAGTATATCTGCTGTTATTACTACGCCACTTACAGAGCCCTCAATGCTGGCTGGTTCTGAAAGAGTCCTTCTGGCAGCTGACTAAGTCGGTTATTGTTCAGAGATCTGTGGACAGAAAGCGAAGAGAGGCAACCGTATTATTTGTCACATTGGAAGAGCACCTTGAAACTGGCAAGAAGGAAAAAATATTATCTCTTGATTTATTGCTAAAAGGTGCGGTGAGGAGACAAATGATCAATATTCAGTACTTTTTGGATGGGGATGCAGTGAATGGGATTTTCGGTCTTTCACCACTTTTCTTGTAGGCTGATCTGCTCACATAGTGATTATGATGCTCATCCTTCGCTCCCTTGTCACTGGACAGTTTTGTCCGTTTGGTTTTAGCGAATTCAAATAGAGAAAACAACAACAGCAGCCTCCCACCGCTTTAGCAGCTGCATCTGCGGCTTAGATCTTTGCAGGGTGGTGGCGTTCCGATGGATAATGAGAACTCAGTCTCAAGCGAACCGAGAAAAAAAGTTGAATGAGTCACAGGCCGGCTGAAGACCAGGTCACCAAACGACTGACGGTGTTCTCTGCCGGCAGAACCCTTGTGTGATAGCTCCATTTGGCAATAATAGATATTTGGAATCGTTACTCGACTTCAGAGGTGCGTTGGAGCACATGAACAGTGGAAAGACACTGGATTTGAATGCCTCCTTTGGTTGTTATTAGTAGGTTTGCCGAGTCGAAGGTTTGATGGATTTCTCGTGTGCTCTGGATGGCAGTCGTGAGTCAGTCACGTGTCAAGTCAAGTCGGCGGAATAGCGCGAGCTCCAGTGTGGGAGCAAACCCATTCCTTTGGGCGTTACATATATTATTATTAATATTATTTTTGAAACTCGGATGTTGAGCCATAAATAAATGTGGAAGAGAAAAAGACATATGGATACGAGTTCAGGGCTCACAGCATCACACAAAAGCGTGGGCGCCATTTTGGACAGGCCACTGTCACACGAGCCAGCCAGCATGCCAGAATCATGCACATGCGATCAGGCAGATATCTCTGAAAACTTGAAAGTGGGGTGCATTCAAAATGTTCATTTGTACCAATGCCTTTGCCTAGGCCTCTGAAACTCTAGGAACATACTCTCAATACCCATTGTAAGGATTTGTCCGAGAGTGTTTTGTTTTAATCGATACGGTTTGGCGTACATATGGAGCCAAAGTATCAGTTGGTGCAGGCGTAATTCTGATTTGGATTATTGTACTAAAATTGAAAAGTCTCTCGGAGAAGTTCTTCTAATTTTCCTACTGAAAATTTTAAGCTATTGGCCATCAAAATTGGGCCAGAGACGGGTACAAACAAACATTTCAAAGGCAACCCTATCTGCAGTGCAGCCGCGATGAAGAACCGCGCGCGCTGCACTTGTTGTGAATGCGGAAACAACACCAGCAGCAAAGCAATTTTTTGAAATGTTTTTGCTACTCGCCTGGCGCTTCATCGCTGTGTCCTCCAGGAGTTATCATGGTTATGGCAGACCGAAGAAATACATGGCCAGCACAACGGCGAAGCCATTGGACTTGTTCTCTTGCAACGAAACGGAGTGGCGAATCAAAATTTAATAATTCACAACTCCACGTCGTCACCACTGCGCTACACGGCTCTTCGCAGACCAGCCGTATATTTACGTTTACACAACAGGACTTCACGGCGGAGAAACTAAAACTAGAACACGACGTGAGTCATTGCTCCATGCCGTCAAGGAATGCTAGTCCTTTCCCTCTCCCGTCACCCGCGCCTGTGCATCAGCGGCGTAGCTGCCCGGCTGTAGATGTTGAACTCTTTCGTCAACGACTGCAGGATTCTGCTCGGGGCTACTTTTCGCAAGACTCCGTGTGCGGACACTCTGAATGAAGCCTTCGGCCGACAAGGCCAACACTGCTCGCGAAATAATCCACTTGGAAGGAAACAAGAACTACCGAAATGAAATAGAGATAGTGAGACCGTCTCCGGCCATCTCCTTCACCATTCACGACTCAGTCCTTGTCACAGCAACTAAGCCCAAGCAAGTCAAAATCTCCTTGCGCGACTGCGTTCTACGCTCGCGCTTAGCGGTCACGCGAGTTCGTTTCTATGGTGATCAGATCCAAGATGTCCTCCCACGTAATCGAGGTTTTGGCATGGTTGCTGTGAGCCCTGGAGTTAAGAGTAACTCTCCATCACTGTAACATGATACTATATACAGTCAGAAAGTGCAATAACTAGGCACAAAACTGACAGAGTACTGAGTCAGGACGTCGAATGTTTCAGTACTCTGTCAGTTTTGTGCCTAGTTATTGCACTTTCTGACTGTATATAGTATCATGTTACAGTGATGGAGAGTTACTCTTAACTCGTATCCATATGTCTTTTTCTCTTCCACAAATATTATTTTTATTTTTATATTAACTGGTTTGAGGGAAAGAGACAAACGGGAAAAGTCTGAAGAAAAAATTGCCTGTCACCACCAGGACTCGAACCAGGGACCCTCGCTTGTAGCCAGCGATGCTCTTACCACTGAGCTATGGTGTAGTCGTCATCCCAGCAGAGGCCGTTCAACATTTTCTTCAGACTTCGTTTATTTTTATACTCAGCCTTTTCACGCTGAAATCGCCAAGCAAGCTTGATCTTCGCTTAGGCCAAATGCAATGAAGAATAAGGTGCTCATTGAGAGCAGTATGATGATTCATTGTTTAGTGGTGTACAGCGTGCTAGTACCGTAAAGTCCGGAGCAAACGCCCACTTCGCAGCAAACGCCCACCCCAGCGGGTCCATACTATTTTCGTCTTTTTCAGGTCAATATACAGTCAGACCTCGCTTATCCGGTCCTCTTTTATCCGGATCCCTCGCCATCCGGAAGAAAATCGTTGGTTACCGATTTACAGCATATGCCATGCATACATACAGTGTGTGTGTTCGATTATCCGGTTCCCTCGCCTATCCGGATATTTTTGTGGAAAACGGTTGTGTGCGGTTATGCGAGGTCTGACTGTAGTTGTAAACAACTGGCATGAACGTCGAATGCGTACGAGAACGACTGTAATGCTTACAAACTGCCTATGCCCTACCAGGAGGCTGTGCAAAAGCGATTGTCATTATCTTCCTGCAAAGAAATAACTTGTCGAGATTTCCTTTCATTCAATAAATGTATCGTCTTTGTGGTAGTTCGTTCTCCATGTGGTAGAATCTACGAGTAATGCCGCAGAAATTTGTGCAGTGCCACGATATCGCGCTGTCAGGAACAATAATTGTTCTGATGAAGCGTCAGTCAACGGCTTGACTGGTCCCAATATTGCAGTTGCAAGTCGAACAGGGTATGTCACAGAAGCTACACCTACAACGTCGCTGCTAATTTGTTGAAAACTCCGAAGTGCCCAAGAAAAAAATTTGCCTTTGGGCGCTGTGTGATCTCGAAATGATGGCTTGAAACACCGTCAGAAGTGTATTTGGTTCCTTCAATACTCTGTTCTTCGCTACCTTGTTATTCGGAAGAAAACCCGTTCGGATTTGCGAAATAAAACAACCATCATTATAAAATCACTACGAGCTAGCTAGCTCGTGGCTATAGCGCTAGTGCACAAAGAGATTTTGAAACCAGGAAAGTGGACATAGTTTACCGTAGCAAAGTGCTCTTCCCGCTATGGTGTGAGATGCACTTTCGTACAGTAGGGGTGACAGTGCATGGGGTCAGTGTGTACAGGCCAGCAGATCTGGCAAAAATGGGGTGGGCGTTTGCTCCGGACTTTACGGTAGTAGTACTTGCAAGCAATTGAACGTCCTTGACTCTGAGCTACAAAAATGTGTAAGGAGGATTAGTACAAGGCCTAGATATAGCAGGGATGGATTGTGGTAATGTAAGAACTTACTAAGAATAGAATTAGGGGACCAGGCTTGCAACCACACAAACACACACACACACACACACACACACACACACACAAACACACACACACACACAAGCACACACACACACACACACACACACACACACAAACACGCACACACACACGCACAAACACACACACACACACACACACACAAACACACACACACACATTACTCACATGGATTTTAACAGTTGTTGATTAATAAACAGTCCTTCGGGTAGCTCACTAAGAAAATTGCCATGTAAACGCCTGGAACAGAAATGGCATGTTCATTGCACTGAATTATAGCTATCTCTTAATTTGCTAAATCCTATATATAGGATTTTGGTCATATTTTTCAACTCAAAATGGGTGTGGCATGAGAATAGCAAAAAGTATGTGACCAATTCTTCCTTGCTAGGTCTTAGTAGATATGGAGAGTTGAATAAGATAATTTTTTCAAACACTAACATCTAAGTCTCATCTCCTTGCCCAATATTACTAAGGCCTGTGCCCAGTTTTTCGAATCCTATATATAGGATTTGAGATTTTATTGGACCTTGTTTTATACTTAAAACTGGTAGTTTCATGACGGCATGTGCGATATGTCGTCATGAAACCACCCCGTGCCACACCTGCAATGTTCTTCTGCACATTCACTGCTTCAGTCCTTTCCATGACAGCAGCTGAACAATTATGCTCAAATTTCCAATTATTGCTGAAAATGGGTATTCATCAGAAATATTATCACCCTATGAATCTAAAATGTAAACATTCATGCCTCAAACATATTTACAACTTCCATGAAAATCATTATGTCGTTATTATTGGTCGTGATGACCAATCACGACCAATAACAACGGCATAAAAGGCATAGCCAGCAATCGCATGTCATCTCGTACATTGAAAATCAACATAATTTTGCGAATCGACCTTTTTTTTCAGGATCACTTTTCAACGAGGACGAAGCAAAGTCGGCCGAACGAAGCCTAGAGGAAGAAAATCACCCTCTCCACTTCACCATCACGATACTGACATAGATACGAGATGAAACAACTAAAAAATTCACAAGAAAACTGTACGACCATCATCGCGCTGACTTTGGTCTGACTTTGGTCTGAGAATTTCTATCACGATCAAAAATGTACGAGGAGCACTCAAAAATCAGCCACAGACGTACCTTTATCGCTCTCTACTCCTTTTTCAAGGCACAAAAGTCGACTCTCCACTTTCAAACCAGGAACCAGACATACCAGTGGTCCTTTTCAGCTGCTCCACGAGCGCAGGAAATGTTCACCAAGGGGCGCAGAGCAGCATCCATTCCAGAAAAATAGCTAAAATACGAGTGAGACTGCATGCCTGAGTACATGAGTACATGTATGAGTACATGCAGAAAATAGTCAATTTCAGCGTTTCTGCTCCAAACAGCAACCAGCTTCGACTAGAAACAAAGATTACACCAAAGGATCAAACAACAACGATTTTCTGCAGTTTTTTTTGCAGTTGGCTTCCTTGTGCTTGGCCCAGCACGCCAAAAATCACACCTCGGAGGAGTACAAAAATTACAACTCTCAGATGTCCTTGATTGCTGGCCATGCACACATTTTCAAATCCTATATATAGGATTTTTGGCCAGCAAATTAAGAGACAAGAAGTAAAGTGGGATGTAGACATCATAACACCGTTCGCAAGTTACAGATTGCAAGGTCATACCAATACGTTAACTGAGAGCGGAATTTTTCCAACGTGTCGCAGAACCTAGCGATCTCACCCGTGAGTATGACATGATTGCAGTGGCTTTACTGGGGATGTAGGGTGCTATAGTCCTGAGAGCACGCTCCTCTTGACCACTTTCACAAACACGCCAATCCAAAAAGTGTATGTGTGTAACCCGATTTGAAACACACGGATATACTGTGGCCACGGAACAATTTATCGCAGCAGTTTAAAGAAAGATTAGGGGTCGTCCCCAAATATGGATGTTTTTTTAGAGAAGATATTCGTTCGTTGGGGGGGGGGGGGGGTTGGGCCCTGTTCGTCTCGTCTTTGCAGAAAAAATATCGAAATCTATCTATGGAGGGGCGCTGTTCGAACATGTAGTTTATGACCTACACAAAGTGAAAGTCGACCTCGTGAGCATAGCCATGGCAAGGTTGTGCAATCGTGGCAGCATAAACCTAGGTGTATGGTGAAATTAGAGTGGCAGCTGGTCAAGTTTCATGAGGAAATTGAACTTCATTAAAAAATATCGATCCCTTGCATAAACATGTGTATGTTCGTTTTGAGGGGGGGGGGGGGGGGAGGGAGGGGTCTGGGGAGAAATGAACAAATATCGTCTTGAAAAAAATATCGATATTTACGGACGGCCCCTTAGCTGAATAAATTGAAGGGAAATATGATCGGGATTTGTTGAAATTGAGGAGGCCACCCTATTTTTCAGACATTCTCTAATAAAGATGATCTGGAAAGGAGACTTACAGAAATTGCAACGATGTGGCAGTACTGAATACTCCATCAGTTAGAATAGTCAAACTGAGATTGTTAAGGTGACTGAAGCGAACAGAGAACCAACACAAATAACCAAACATGACTACCACGGCCAGAGCTTTCTTGCAGCCTTGGTATGGTGTGAAATATTAGAGAGGTTCCCCATAACGTAATTACGTTAGTAAAAAACGTAGTCGATCTACGGAAAGTCTTACGTAAACTGCATGCGCGTCTGTGTTCCGCCATACGGAGTTTTCAAAACACGTAGCTGCCCTTGGCAACTCGGAACGCGGCAGTGTACGACCAGATCGACCTGGGGAGAGAGTCATAAATTTGTACCCCAATCCACACACAACTACGTTAACAGAGCCCTATCTAAGTACTCTCCGTAGACAACTTTCCGTAAGTGGAGTGCAAACTCGTGAATTCCAGGGTTTTTCCCGCCCACTAACGTAAAGTTGCTCACCTTTACGCAGTGCGGAACATCTCTATTCACTACAGTACAGGGAAACAGTCTTGGGATAAATGCTCCGTGCTTGCGCCGCTCAAGTCTCCTTGTTGAACTGATTTTCGAAGCATTTTTGAATCTTTTCTTGATCCTGCATGTATCAAACTTGCAAACCTAACAGTACGAAGTAGACTGAAGGGATGTGACAAAGCATGCACTCAATGGTGACGTGAGCTTCACATTCTCCTTTGTTTCTTTTCTTTCTCCATCATTTCTTAAGAGGGCTTCGACAAGTCACTTTGCCGAGGCGAAAAGGCAGTCTCTCCCACCTATTTCTGGATGGATCACACTCCCCTGTAGTATTTATTTCCGTCCTTCTTCAGGTTTTTTTGAGAGCTTGGACAATATACGACTCCAGGCAAGAAAGCTCATCATGCTTGTCCTTTCTGTGAAATAAAATGTCCGCACCCGCCAAAGCGCAGGTCTGCTGGGATAATCACAGTGCAGGTAAACAAGCTGTACGGGGGAGAGTTGTGGAAATGTTGAGATGGCATTTCAAAAATACGATACTCCTTCTTCTCCTCTCTTCAATACACTCTTCAGCCGACTACCGAAAGTATAAATAATTGATCACTTCCATGAGGTAATCCTATACAATATCACTCACTCTCTCTCTCTTTCTCTCTCTCTCCCCCTCCCTCTCTCTCTCTGTCTCTCTCTCCACCTCTCTGTCTCTCTCTCCATCTCTCTGTCTCTCTGTTTCTCTGCCTCTCTCTCTCTCTCTCTCTCTCTCTCTCTCTCTCTCTCTCTTCCGAATCTTTTGTAATCAAAACCGCTGTCGGGACTACGTGCCTTGCAGTATCAGTGTCTTCGTTGTTGTGATTTTGATTGTGTGTAATGGCTACAGCGCCGAGAGTAGATAACTGGCTTAGAAGCGCATATAAGGGAGGAGCAGGGTGTGATATCCATGTACATGTCTTATGTGTTGACGTCACTAAGACGTCACTAGGACTCTGCATGCACGCAGGCCCACCTGTGCTGCCTTCCACTTTTGTTGTCGTTCTGTCTTCCCGAGTCCTTGAAGTGACTTACTCGTTGTTGGCTTATGAAATAGAATTATACATACCGGTAACACCCTTGTCTCAGTCTGGGTTGTAATAGGGGAAGCATGATGGGAAGTCCTATGCGTGTAGGCTGTGGACATGCTTCTAAAGTTCACACACAACTTACAGTTGAGTTAATCTTTGTTGGTTTCGAAGCAGTCCTTCTGGTAGCTGACTCATAGTGTTCCCGTCCAATGCTCTGCAGACAGACACGGTACGTAGATATCGTGGGGGATTTGACATTATCTTCTGTATATCAACGGAAAATGATTCGCTCCTATGACAAATTTGGCCACTAGAATCAAGGTATGTACTCGGATGGAGAGCCATGGGATTGATTTATTCAGAAGAGAAAGGACCAGGGAACTACAAGACTTGAATTTACTCTATACTGTCCACTAACACCACCAGTTACTAAACAATCAGCTCATGCGATAACATTGCACGACACTGACCAATGGTACTGATGTTCTACAACTAACTGGCTAACAGATCTAGCACATCTTGGATGCGCACTCCAACATCCTTCCAGCTTGGAAGGTTCCAAGTTATATAACTAACATAGTAGCATCAGTACCATCGGTCAGTGTCGTGTAATGTTATCGCATGAGATGATTGTTTAGTAACTAGTGGTGTTAGTGGACAGTATAGCGTAACTTGTAGTTCCTTGGTTCCTTCTCTTTTGTATAATTAATCCTTGGCTCTCCATCCGAGACCATTCCTGCACACCTGATGAGCCGTCTTAATCTATATGGCGAAACGATCGTCGTGTGAAACTGCTGCTTGTTACCGCTGCTTGTCCATTTAAATTGTCATAGTTGAAGTACAGTGCTGTTTTCCTGAGCCATTCGGTTTTTCATGATTCTTGTTCGCATAGGTTCCCCTTTTATTGATCTTCGCATCTTTTGAGCCACACAAGCTGTGTGGAATGTTGCTTTGCGTTCTGGAATCAGGTTTGACCGTATTTTCCAATGGTCTTGCCAGTATCGTCATCGACATGCATGAACATCCGCCAACGTCCTTCACAGCTGAGACTTTCAGCTCGTGCTTATCTTGGTTGCGCTCACCTTCCACTCCTTATGTAATTTCTATAACTTAGAACCTTCCAAGTTGGAAGGCTGTTGGAGTGCGCATCCCAGATGTGCTAGAGCTGTTAGCCAGTTAGTTGCAGAACGTCAGTACCGTCGATCAGTGTCGTGCAGTGTTATCGCATGAGCTGATTGTTTAGTAACTGGTGGTGTCAGTGGACAATATATCTTAACTTGTAGTTCCTTGCTCCTTTCTCTTTTGTATAGAATCAAGGTGTTCATTATTTTTCCTAATATAGTAACAGCGGGAGGATGAAGATTTTAAAAGAAAGCATGTCTGGGGAGAGCAAAGAACTTGCGCAAGTCGATCTCTTTGATTTCGCTCAAACCCTGCAAGTGAGTTGTCGATCTCTTTGATTTCGCTCAAACCCTGCAAGTGAGTTTCCTTTGGGATGTAGATAGACATCGTTGAAGACGGTTTTGAAGAAGACCTTTGAACTGGCCTGGCCAGTAAAAAAAGTTCCAAACATCCCATGATTTATAGATGTGTATGCGGTCTAGGGGACAGTGTACATGAACAAGCTACGCCCAATACACCATGAAGCAGCTGAAGCCATCATTTCCTCACCTCATGCGAGTTCCTGGCCCTGCCCTGCTTAGCTACGCAAGCATCCCTGAAGCGTCATTGCGGCACATCGAGATGACGCAAATATTCGCCTTCAAACTAGCCAATTTGCATGCGCTGATTCCACACCGAGTTACGTATGCCACTTGACAGAACCATACACAGGAAGATAGAGGAACCACTCTCCTCTCACAACTGCTGTCCCTCATCCTGTTTTCGATTTTATTGAAAAGACCAATTATTTGTTCTTCACTCCATCCTGAAACACGCAGCCTCGACCAGCTGGGCCCTCGCTGATGTCTACTCATCAATTTCTAAACCAACTGGACTATCAATGCTGCAGAACGAAGGTTATTACTAACTCTGGTAAGGAAACGTCAGGGGTGATCACTTGTCACGCGCCATGTTCTCCAGGCGCCTGCAGCATTTCTAGGTTCGAACCATGATGGAAAAATGACCGACGCGACGTCTTGGCTGTTTTTTGTAATTTTACGTTAAAAAATAGACCAAGAGGTTCCCAACAAGGAAGAGTACGGCACCAATGTGTGTGCAGTGTGCGTGCATGCACTGGAAAGGATAGTGAGCTGGGGCCGGGATCAATAGGAGGGGTCAAGTGTCAAAAATATGGCATCGGCGACTCTTGCAGGTACATCTATCTCATGGTACGAAACGATTTGGGCCATCAGCGACCGTTCTGAGCGGGGAATATGTATGGATTATCCCATGAGTATGAGGGGTATACCGCCGAATATTTTCACGAGTGCATTAGCACGAGGGAAAATATAAGGGACACGGTATACACAGAGTACGAATCTCCAACCTGAACGTCCTCCGCTGAGTCTGCTATGTACTAGGCTTTGTCTCTGACATTGAGCACTCTCTGCAGCTCAAGGATCAACGGATTTGTCAGAGTACGAATGGTATAATCCATTTATCCCATGTACTGTCACAAATAGAGCGTGACCAGCACTAAAATCTCCCTTATTGGCGTGACCCGGGGAATATTCGTGACCCCAGCGGGGTATATTATTGACCCTTTGACCCCAGCGGGGTATATCATTGACCCCGGCGGGGTATATTGCTCTATATACCCCTGCTCAGAACGGTCGCTGATTGGCTGAAATGGCCCAAATCGTTTCGTACCATGGGATAAAGAGCGATATTCCCCGCTGGGGTCAATAATATTCCCCGCTGGGGTCACGAATATTCCCCTGGCCACGCCAATAAGGGAGATTCTAGTGCTGGTCACGCCCTATTTGGGACAGTACATGGGATAAATGGATTATACCATTCGTATTCTGTGTATACCGTGTCCCTTATATTTTCCCTCGTGCCAACGCATTCGTGAAAATATTCGGCGGTATACACCTCGTACTCATAATCCACACGTATTCAGCGAGGAATACAACAGGCGCAGGCAGTTACACAAGCACGGAAAGAAGTCGAGGTAAGAATCACAAGAGCTGCGCCTACGTACCGTGAGAAATTAATTCCTGGATACGGAAAGCAAGCACGATGATTATTCAAACAATGCATGCTAGTACTAGTAGGACCGTGGTATTTTTTGACGAGGAGGCCGACCTGGCGGGAGGACGCAATACCCTGCTTCGTCGTCTTCACTATCACCCTTATTCAATCATCCTTTTTCACAAGAGAGAGATTGGAAGCTTTGTTACAACTCTGAGTTTCACGTATTACTACGATCATCAGGCAACCTGATGATCGTAGTAATACGTGAAAGTCAGAGTTGTAACAAAGCTTCCAATCTCTCTCTCTCTCTCTCTCTCTCTCTCTCTCTCTCTCTTGTGTACAAGGCTCTGCCCTACATGGGTATGATCACTCTTCGGACAGTGAACACAACCACTTGACTACGTCATCCTTTTTTCATCAATTTTCACTTACTTGAGTCTGGAGGTGCCATAGGCTGAAGATTAGGGGAAAGATAAAGACACTGTGCAACACACTGATGTGAAAGACTTACAAACGCGTCAAGTTTCGTGTTGCTTCAAAAATCCGAGCAGGAAGTTGAGAAAGTTTGTTTTCATTCAGGTGTCTGTGCAAGGAATGGATAAAGAGTGCATGTAACGCTACTTGTAAATACAGGAAGCAAACATAATAATCTCCATTGTCCAGTTGCGCTCCGTGAAATCTGACCAACAGTGGAACACTGACGCCCTATTTAGTCTCAATGATCGCATCACTGAATTCGTCCATCAGTATGTCCAGCCGCATCCAATCCACCTCCCCGGCGCAAAGGGCCGTGCAAGTTGAGGTCGTCAAATATGCACTTTTGATCGGAATTCAGTGAGTGCAACTGTACGACAGGAGGTAGTCCCCCAGTAAACTTGTCATCAACTTATTTACTGCTGTCTTATGCACAGGCGACATTACTGGCAATGATAACATTGGAGGAGGCAAATTGTGCACCCAGCGTACTTGTTAACTATTGTTCTTTTGTTGCCTATTGCCTCATAGATTATGCTGATTGTGGCCAGGTGTATGCTGGGAATCCATCCACCCCTGTCTTGCAACCTGTCTTCTGTTTCAGATCCTGCGTGCACGCTTGCTTTTTTGTCACAGCTGTCAGTCAACACTCGCAAGTGGCGCTTCGATTTATCTGATGTGCCTATCAAGTCGTAATGGCACTGTACCTGCACGTGCCTATCTCCTCTTAGATGCCACTGCATCCTTTCCCGAGATTTCAGGATTCCGCAGCATTTCCCAGTTGTAGAGACCCTTTGGACTTGTTTCTGCGTGTTCACCAGTGAAACCAGGCACTGGATAAGTGGACTCTCTGGTTTCAAAAGGAACCCACGTGACGAGGAGTGCACAGCGCCATCGGATTATAAAAATGTTCTTCAAAACTGCTGACGTGCTCCCCGGGTTCTTCAAATCTAGTGTTGCCTTGAGGAAATCAAAACTGTGCAACGCGATCTGACAATCATGTGAAAGACTTACAAATTCTCCAGGCTTCGTGTTGCTTGAAACAGTTGTGCAGGAAGGTGAGTAAGTTCGTTTCTTTGCAACCATCTGTACATGGGATGGTGAGAGAAGACAGGGTAATGGTGAGAGAAGACAGGGTAATGGTGAGAGAAGACAGGGTAATGGTGAGAGAAGACAGGGTAATGGTGAGAGAAGACAGGGTAATGAGCCACGACGACAAAAAACACTGTTCGTGTGAGACTCAGGGTAATTTCCCTTTTCTTTTTTGGTCCTTTCTGGTATATTATTATCATTTCTTGTTTGCCCTTGCATATCATCCCTTCATCATTCTGTGAGAACCTGTCCTATGGGCAGGTTAGAAAGCATCTCTGCGTGTTCATTTGGTGAAGTAAAATGAACAACAACAACAACAACAACAACAACAACAACAACAACAACAACAACAACAACAACAACAACAACTCTCTCTTATTGGCCACAGGCCATCGTGAGAATAAAAGAATTCAAACAACAACAACAACAACAACAACAACAACAACAACAACAACAACAACAACAACAACAACAACAACAACAACAACAACAACAACAACAACAACAACAACAACAACAACAACAACAACAACAACAACAACAACAACAACAACAACAACAACAACAACAACAACAACAACAACAACAACAACAACAACAGCTCACTCCATAAAATACCAATATGCCCCACAACACATACGCTTGCTCAACACCCCCGCTCAAGTTACGGCCCACTACAGCCTTCGACACGCACGCACTTGGCACCTCCCACCCTCCAGAACCGATCGCTGTAAAGACTCCCCACTGTACAAGTCCCTAGAATACTACAATGCCCTCCCTGCTAGCATTCGTGACATCTCCTCCCGACCTGCTTTCAAACAAGAAATCTGCTCACTGCTGATTAACTCAATCTGCTCCTGCAGCGCTCACCCTCTCCCATACTTGTAAATTTCAAAGTGATGTAAATCACTTTCCAACTGTTTAACCCACAATCTCACCTTCTCATCAATTTATCTCTTATTGGCGATGGTGCCATCGTGAGAATAAAGAATTCAAACAACAACAACAACAACAACAACAACAACAACAACAACAACAACAACAACAACAACAACAACAACAACAACAACAACAACAACAACAACAACAACAACAACAACAACAACAACAACAACAACAACAACAACAACAACAACAACAACAACAACAACAACAACAACAACAACAACAACAACAACAACAACAACAACAACAACAACAACAACAACAACAACAACAACAACAACAACAACAACAACAACAACAACAACAACAACAACAACAACAACAACAACAACAACAACAACAACAACAACAACAACAACAACAACAACAACAACAACAACAACAACAACAACAACAACAACAACAACAACAACAACAACAACAACAACAACAACAACAACAACAACAACAACAACAACAACAACAACAACAACAACAACAACAACAACAACAACAACAACAACAACAACAACAACAACAACAACAACAACAACAACAACAACAACAACAACAACAACAACAACAACAACAACAACAACAACAACAACAACAACAACAACAACAACAGCTCACTCCATAAAATACCAATATGCCCCACAACACATACGCTTGCTCAACACCCCCGCTCAAGTTACGGCCCACTACAGCCTTCGACACGCACGCACTTGGCACCTCCCACCCTCCAGAACCGATCGCTGTAAAGACTCCCCACTGTACAAGTCCCTAGAATACTACAATGCCCTCCCTGCTAGCATTCGTGACATCTCCTCCCGACCTGCTTTCAAACAAGAAATCTGCTCACTGCTGATTAACTCAATCTGCTCCTGCAGCGCTCACCCTCTCCCATACTTGTAAATTTCAAAGTGATGTAAATCACTTTCCAACTGTTTAACCCACAATCTCACCTTCTCATCAATTTATCTCTTATTGGCGATGGTGCCATCGTGAGAATAAAGAATTCAAACAACAACAACAACAACAACAACAACAACAACAACAACAACAACAACAACAACAACAACAACAACAACAACAACAACAACAACAACAACAACAACAATACTCGCCAGGAGTAAGAAGCAAGTTTTGAAGCTCTGAGTGTCGTGACCACGTCCCCACCCTAGAAGCGTATATGCACTGCTATTCTAACTAGTATTACCTATCTAGCATGGATGACTCCCCAGTGCCAGGCAGCCCAAAGCCTGAGCCCCCAGAGCCACTGTGGAGGTCGATGTCGCCGGCCGAATTGAAGGCCAATACCGTAATATTTGTCGACGGCCTCGCAGGCCAGAAGATAGTAGAAATTGCGGACACCCTCATCGACCAGGGTTATGCTGACGTCGCCTCCGTCCAAATTACCGGATCAGCCTGTAAGGTAACGTTCTGCAGCCAATCTACAACTAAGTCCATTGCAGAACACGGTTTCTTTCTTGGCGAAACACATATTTCTGTCCGCCATTCTCTCTCCTTGCAAGTGCACATCTTTGACGTCCCGATTTGGATCTCCGATGCCGCCATCATACATGCACTCACAAAATACGGTACGGTGCAAGGCACCATTCGCCACGGCCGTACCCGCACAAAGTCGGGCGCATTTGTCGGAACAGGCGTACGCTTCGCAACTGTTCGCCTGAACAACGGCTGCAGGCAGGTGCCATCTTTCGTGCGGACAGCCGAAGGCAATACCTTCCGCGTGAAGCATGAGGGCCAGGCGCCAACTTGCCGCCTCTGCAACTCAGAAAATCACCTTGCCGGCTCCTGCCCTAAATCGAACAAGCTACAAAACACACGGACCCGCACTTCAACCAACACGCGGCAGAACCAAAACGAAGACCCAGCACCAGATCCAACACTGGCGACAGCCCTGCCAGGCCAGGCCAGCTTACCGTACGCACAGGCAGCGACCCCGGCCCCTGCCAGCACACTCGTACAGGAAATCACCGAAACAAGCAACACACAGACCCAAAACGACGATCCAGCACCAGATCCGACAGCCTCCACAGGCCAGGTCAGCTTACTGTACGCACAGGTAGCGTCCCCTGTGACCTCTGCCAGCTCACCCGCACAGGAAGTCACTGAACACAGCCAGCCCAGCAAAAGTGCAGACCAGCACGGACACACTGCCAGTGCCTCTGATGAGCACCAAACTCGTACTCGTAGAACTAGTACAGATATCGATCGAGCCGACGAGAGCGCAGTCCGCGCACTATCACCCAGCGCAAGCATGTACTGCCACTCGCCAGGCTCACCTCGCACGGCAGCGGAAGACGACAGCAACGACGAGAGCCTATTTGAGGAAGATGGAAATCGCGCCGAACAACTCCTGCAGAAGCTCAATGCAGCGGAGGAAGAATGGAAACTCTACACCGGACGTCGCAGACGCAGACGCCACCAGCTAGAGCAGACGCCCCCAGGCGCACAACATCCACATGCCTCTAAAAAACAAAAACAAAATAAGCTAGCTGACCAGAGTCCTACAGGAGTCACCATGGACCACGCCTGAACTGGAATAATCAACACCAGGTCCCACCAGTGAAAAAAAAAAAAAAAAAAAAAAAATTATGAAAAACGGAAATGAACAAAATAGCATCTCTTTCTTCTCCTTCAACGCTCGCAGTCTCTACCCCAAAATGGACGAACTGTCAGCAATAGCATCGTCAACAACGCCACCTTATGATGTCATTGCTGTCTCTGAAACATGGTGTACCCAGCACGATCCAGACTCCCTGTTTGCCCTCAGTGGATACACACTACATCGTGCAGACCGCCCAGACCGCCAAGGTGGAGGAGTGATTCTCTACGTGAACGACACTATACCTCATGAACTCGTCCCTACAACAACCCCAGACAGCTTTGACCTATTATCGCTGAAACTGTCAGCCAACGACAGCACCATCAACACAACATGCGTCTACCGACCACCCCGTTGCGACCATCAGCTATTCTGCCAGCACCTTGAGGAACTGATACGAGCCATACCAACAACAACGCAAAAGATTATCCTCGGTGATTTTAATGCAAAGAACGCCGCTTGGTGCCACTCTGACACGACAGATGCTGTTGGCGAGGATCTAGCAGTGCTGTTCCAAACTTACTCTCTACACCAACATGTCACATTCCCCACTCTTGTGCAGAATGGGCACCCTAAATCCTGCCTAGATCTCGTCGTCACGGATGTAGACAGCGACTATGTCCTTATCTCTAGTCTCCCGCAGATCGGCAACTCGGACCACCTATCCATCAGGGGTTTAATCAAGCCAGTCGCTGCACCCCCTCGAGCCGTACCACCTCCCACCCATAACACCACCCATTGGAAATGGTCAAACCCAAGCATCAGCAGTCTGAAAGCCGAAATTGAACGCACACAACTGCTACCGGAAGGTGACACCCTGAACACTACCAACATAGACAACCTGTGGCACTCATGGAAGGACAAAGTCCTCACTTGCGCCCGCAAACACTGTGCAGTACCTCACTCCCCGAGGCATACTAGCCACCCCGCAAAGCCATGGCTGAACCCAGAGCTCACTAACGCCATCAGAGAAAAACACCGGCTCTACCGTGCCTACTTGCGCACCCGGACGCCCTGCAACTGGACAGCATACACCACCCAACGCAACAAAGTTACTCACCTTCTCCGAATCGCTAAGTCTACATATGTCAGTAATGGCACTGGGACGAGCCACTCCACACCAAACCTACACAAACTGATGCGCGGCCTCCAGTCCTCACAACGACCTACTCTGCCAGACATGCTCTCCCAGGGCCAGACTCTCTCAACCCCCGCTGAAAAAGCAACCGCCCTGAACGCTTTCTTCATCTCGCAAAGCCAACAGTCAGTCACAGGATGCCACGAGGAACTTCCCTCCATTCATTCCCCCACACCCAACACACCTGGCCTCACTACACTTGAAACAACAGCCCAAGAGGTCTCAAAGTTACTGTCTAACCTGGACCCGTCAAAGAGCCCGGGCTGTGATGGCATACCAACCCGCCTACTGAAAGAGGCAGCCAGTTCACTTGCGCCGTCCCTAGCAACCCTTTTTAACATCTCCTTCGAACGTTGCACTATCCCGCAAGAGTGGAGGGACGCAACAGTCACCCCCATCCACAAGAAGGGCAGCAAAACCGAGCCCTCCAACTATCGACCCATATCGCTACTCAGCGTGACGTCGAAAGTACAAGAGAGGATAGTTGCTGACCGCATCTCAAAGCACATCCAACCTCACCTCCCCAACGGCCAATCAGGCTTTCGGCCAAACGATGGCACCACACAGCAGCTATCTCGGTTAATCCATCAGATCACCGAGAAAAGAGACGCCGGGCAAACAGTAATTGCTTGCTTCTTCGACCTCTCTAAGGCGTTTGACCGGGTGTGGCACCAAGGACTGCTTGCAAAATTGGCCCACCTCGGACTCGATGGCAAATGCCTCCAGTGGCTTGCCTCCTATCTCACCAATAGACGACAACGTGTGCAAGTGGAGAGCAGCAAATCAACATGGCTAAACATTCCAGCGGGGGTCCCCCAAGGCTCTGTCTTGGGGCCGCTTTTGTTCACGGCCTACACAGTTGATCTGCCAACCGCCTGCATAAATGCCAACACTGAGTGCAGCCAGTTTGCCGACGACACTGCCATCATTGCCGCTCACGAGAATTTTCTAGCCGCAGAAGAGCACCTCCAGTCAGCTGTGACAACCGCGGCACAGTGGCTGAAGGATTGGCATCTCCTGGTCAACGAAAGTAAGACCACTGTCATCCACTTTCACCACACCAACCGGCCACCTCCCAGACCACCATCAATCACACTTAACGATACCAACCTCACTGTGGCCTCAAGGCATCGCCACCTTGGCCTCCTCATACAGCAGAATCTATGCTGGAACTCGCATGTTGACTACATCATCACTAAAGCGACCAGGAAGATGTTCCTTCTCCTGCGACTACGCAATTCCTTAAACACTTCTGCTCTCTCCTCCATCTATCTAACCTACATTCGCCCTATTCTTGAGTATGCTTGCACTGTCCTCTCACCCCTCCCCGCAACCCTGAACGACCGGCTTGAGCGCATCCAACGGCGCGCTGCTCGCCTCTGTTTGCATCTCCCCCTCTTTGAACACAGAACCCACTCCGTGCTGCTGCACCGACTCAAATGGCCATCACTCAGCAGCCGCCGTACCCTCTCCCATATCCTTCTTGCACACAGCCTGCATCATAGATATGCACCACCACACCTTCTTGCAATTCACCTACCCCGAATACAACCCATTCGCACGCTCAGGTTCCCCCGAACCTTTGAGCTACCCACAACACGTACAAACCGGCTAAGAGACTCCCCCATCTATGCTTCTCTTGATCTCTTTAATAGCATCCCACCAAGCATCCGGCAAATCAACCCCAGACGAGATTTCAAAGCAAACATCCTACCACTTGTCATCTCTTCCGTATGTACTTGCTCACATTGCTCAGCACATCTATAGCTCCATTGCGCCCAGCCTACGTGATTAACTCCCAATTAGTATTACCATCGCTACTGCCTCAGCAAGCAGCTAAACTTTGATCTCTCTGTATCTGATCCCCGTGCCTGTAATTATTTTTCTCTTATTGGCCACAGGCCATCGTGAGAATAAAAGAATTCAAACAACAACAACAACAACAACAACAACAACAACAACAACAACAACAACAACAACAACAACAACAACAACAACAACAACAACAACAACAACAACAACAACAACAACAACAACAACAACAACAACAACAACAACAACAACAACAACAACAACAACAACAACAACAACAACAACAACAACAACAACAACAACAACAACAACAACAACAACAACAACAACAACAACAACAACAACAACAACAACAACAACAACAACAACAACAACAACAACAACGACGACAACAACAACAACAACAACTCAGCTGGAGGCCGATTTTCCCGTAGAAACGCCATCACCTTCAAGGATCTAGGCGAAATGATCAACGCTACCACTATAAATAATCCTGACACTGAGTGCAAGGCCTACGCGAAGTCAAATTTTTAATTCGAGTCCTGCAGTGGTTAATGATGGTGTATACGCTTCTGCATCCGCTAGATTACTTAGCGTGACAGCCCCGGGATTAGATTATTTGCCAATGTTTGTCCTGTAATTATTGTGAAATGAGTTGAATTGAATGTCCCTTACAATTATGTAGACAGCAGTATGAACGGTATTGCCAGGGCGTGGCACATGCGAGGGAGTAGAAGAGAATTATGAGAATGTACGAGACTACGGGTGGTGGGGCGGGGGGGGGGGGGGGAGGGGGGGGGGGGGGGGTTGGGGCATGTGCAAATGGAACTGAGCAGTATTGGGTTTCTGTAGATTTTAACAGCGAACTGATGGTATTACCCGAATGTCTGCCGACAGTGAGTTGAAGTTGCTAACGCAGTAACAGCCGAGTTGACGAGGGGCTTTTTGTGTCGATGCTTTTCATGATTCGCAGTTTTGGTGATGCGTATCCTTTACCCCATCAGCTGCAGATGTAACGTTGTTGAGGCCTATAACTCTGCGACACAGCTCACATCCTCCACCTAAACTGATCATTGTCTGTTATTCAACTGTTATTGCCCCGTCTGACAAAGTTAAGTATCTGGGACTGACTCTCGACTCAACTTTAATTTTCAGTGCCCACGATAATTCTCTCAGGGAAGATATCGGAAAGAAACTAGATGCTTTTCGACGTGGATGGAGGCACCTTGCTGTCGAAGGCAGTTCTACTTGTCAGTAGTCCAGAGCAAGCTCGAGTACGCCAGCACTGCCTACGTACACTTTCTCGTTGACAACGTGAGAGATCAGCTGCTACGCATAAGTAACAGAGAACTTAGATGCATATTTGAGCATGACACATTCACGCGGACATCATACTTGCTTGAGCGATATCACATAATTAGCTTAGACAAAAGATATCATACTAAGTCTATATTCTTCGCGTTCCGTTGCATCCACAATATTTCCAGTTCACTCCTCTCTATGTTCTCCCTTCGCCGTAACTGCGCTCACAGATAGAGTCACCCGCGGCCAAGTCAATAATTCCCTTTCTGTACCCATTGTGCAAGCTCAAGCTGAATACAAATCTATTCCATTCCTTGGTGCTGACCGCTTTGATGCGCTTCCCGAATCCCCTCGCACAAATCATATCCCCAATTCATTTCGCCAGGAACTTAACAAATTCATTCATCTTGGGCACCCTGTAAGAAGACCTTAGGGTCTGTTGGGAATGCCCAAGTAAAATAATAAAATACAATACACAGTAATACAATCATGTGGGTTCCATAGACTTACAGAATCTTCAATTTTGATGTGCTGGCAAAAATCCCCTCGGGCAATGTTCTAAGTTGGTTCCTTTCCAAGTCTCTGAATGAACAAGAGAAACAGAAAGAAGCTCGGTATCTATTAAAGAGAACTGTTCCAGGCTATCCAAAACAGTGCTAGCTGTCCCAGGGCAGAGCCACTTACTTGTACAACGAGAACATGAGGACAAAAAATATCGTTGTGAGTCAGAGTTTCACGGACGAAGCGATCATCAGGCAACAGGTGCTGTTGTTTGATGATTGCTGGGTTCGTGAAACTCTATGTCATAGCGATCTATTCATCCTCTTGCAGGTATTGGAAGCCCAGCACCTATAGTGGTCATGGGAGCAGTTTATTACTATGCACAATTTTACACATATTTTTTACTTGTCCTTTTTGATACATAGGTAAGCTTGCAATGGCCGAAACAGCGCCGTATGGAGGCAATATTATTGTTTTGTCAGTACATGTACCTACAACTTGGAGTCGTGTTGCTTGTGTGACGGTCGGCCAGAGAGCGCCAGTCGTGGTAGAGGTGGAATTGCTTTATATTTTGTATTTGTATTTATGGATTCTCCACAGGTCTTAGCCTAAATCGAGCTTTAGTCCTGGTATAGTCCTTTCTGTTTGAAGTTGGTGTGTGTAAGGTTTTCCTTTCTGGACATGTAATACAATGTGATATACATCTATCTCCGGGAACTAACTGACTTCTGGCCGTACTACTGCGGCCGTGGACATGGAAATCCAGTTGCACGGCAAAGCGGCCCCAGGGCGCTGGCCCTGCAGCCGTGAGTAAGCGGTTAAGAGCAGACAGCATGCGCTGCTGTGCAGCGCGCTGGTCGCATCGGATCAACATGTCTTTGTGCGCTGCCCAGCTGCAATGTTCTCTACGAGCAGAGGGCGGCGGCCCCGGTCAATCGACTGGATTTCCATGTCCACGACAGTAGAAGCAAGCGATTGTGATAGGGTGATAAGGGCTTCAGTAGAAAAAAACATGTGCACATGCGTGTACGGTTGATAACAACAACAAAACTTACACCTCAAGTAGCTCATATTGATATCGAAACAGTCCCTCTGGTAGCTGACTGAGTTTGTTCGTGTGCAAAATCCTGAAAACAGAAGAGGGTGGCCGGGAACATACTAATGTATGCAGAGTATTATGCCAATGCACCAGGCATGTATGGATTTCTATCAACCTTTCCTATCCCCTGATGACGCCGCTGCAGCCAAGTTGCACAAGTTAGTTCCAAGCAAGTCGTGACGTAGCGTTTTTGCAGCTCATGTGATACGATTGTGTGTTGTGTTTTACCTGATTTTTTTTACTTGCAAGTATAATTTAATTTATTTAAAGGATTCCCGAGAGGCTGTTGATTAAAGGGGCACTCCGGCTTCATTTTCGACGCCGAGTTTTCGATGCCAAGACGAAGGTAGGTGAAAGAGAAGACTCCTCGAACAAGAACGAGTCTCCAGAAACGATCGAGTCAAGCAGGAAGACGACTTTTGAATTTCGCCGAGCAAGCGCTGATCACGTAATGAGGGATTAGCTTGCCAGTGGAAATGCACCTGCGCACATACATTTCACATATTTTTTGGCCAATTTTCAATCAAAGAGGAGGTTGTTTGCTATGTTCTCCCAACGTCGTGAACGATCCCGTCTTCTATACCCTTCCAGGTACCCTGAAGGTCCTCCATAGGAGAATTTATCTCCAGCAAAGCGTTGTTGATCCGCTAAATTCGTCTCTAGACACATTCACCCAGTGCAGTGCTATTAATGTAGAATGTTGAATCTGTGATAATTGTCGACGATGGAGAGAGAGGCTGATAGCCGCTGTCGCAGGGAGAGTGAAGCTGCTGGAGGTAACAGCGGGGAGCCCGTTTGTATCACCTGAACAACCAGACTTCAAAGCAGCTTGACCAAATCGGAGGGTGCCTCGTTGCTTATCGTGAATATTACACCGACATGAATTACTACGAGTACATGTATACTGGTGAGTTTTCATCTTGTTTTGTTCGTATGCTAGTACCCTGGTCTGGAGTTCTCGTTAGCAAATTCCTATTCCCTGGCGTTTTCTAAACATTCCGTGTAGTACTGAATACGTGATCAAGTATTCCGATTTGGGTAGATGTGGAATTTGGACACATATTTTACAAAAAAATTCTATTTTCCAAATAGAGCGTTTGTAGAGAAAGGGTTGCCCAAATACAACAAAATTGATTCTACAGTTCTACAACTTGCACTTAAAATCCAGTCAAAGTAAAAATGATTCTTCATCATCCTGACAGTTGGGGTCAATGAAATCTGATCCAGGCATAACGAATGGTGACGCCTGCCACCCCGGGAACGAATGCCTATTTGTTGGGGATACCAAAGTACTCGACAGTGGTGCGTGTTTCAATGTGGCATTTGGAAGTTTTATATGATCTCTGGTCAATGCAACATACGATAGCCATCATGAATTGCGGGCCTCGAACGCAAGTCAGACCAGAATTGGCAGTTCCCTAAGTTGGATGCGTTATAGTTCCATGCCTCAGCTGTAGTTATAGAGGTATTTTTGCACATTATTCTTATAGTCGATAGGTTTATACTGTTGGCAACAAACACCGGCAGTTCAAACTTCACTGATGTGTTCATGAGCTGAGAGATTTCTCTCCACTATTTCTGTTGTGCACACAGGTCTGTCCACTATGCATTGACCGTATTGGGTATGGTACCTGCTCTGAGAAGGGAATCGCTGGAGCCACAGTCCAACTATACAGGCTTTCAAGAAACAGAGAGGAGCCATCTTTGCAAGCTGATACCTTATGTGTACCGACAGAATTCTCACGAGATACCTTACGGACTACGTCTGGTGTATACTTCATAGTACTCCTTCGACTACTGTCTAGAATCAACTCGACTGAAACAAGTTCAAACAACTCTGGCTTCAAACGAGCCGTCGATTAGACAAACAAATCATTCTCTCATATACTAGAGCACTCTGACAACTCATGACCTATTTCTAACGATTGCCACCGCGTATAAATATGTAGAGTGCTGATTGGAATGTGCTCACAATCTCAACAATTCAGTGCTATAATTATTTGTACAATGTGTTAGAAATTATTCCACTTTTCCTTCCATAAATGTTGTATCCACATAATAGTCCACACTGCTACAAAGTTTCAGAGTTCTCAGGGTATTAAACAAAATTATTTCAAATACAGTGAAATTGTTCGTGGACATTATAGCGTAACTTGTAGTTCCCTGGTCCTTTTCTTTGCTATAAATTAATCCTTTGCTCCCTAGTCGCCGGCGAGTCCAACAGTGAAATTGTTAGTTCATATTTATAATGTGGGTATGTGGGAGGGGGGGGGGGGTTGAACATATTTCTATATAAGGGACCTGCAACTGTAATACCACAGTACAGTAGCCGGCAAATATGTAGAAAACAGAAATGCATGTTACCATCATTGTACATGGACGGGCGCAGCAGGCCGAAGCTATCAGCCAGAACAGGATTTACAATCACCTAGAGATACTTGAGCTATTCCAGTATTCTCCGTGAGCTGTTCCATTCCACAATGGTTCATGCCACCATTATTTCTGGTAGTATCCATGTGCATAATTCCAAGACCATCTCGGATTCTTCAGCAATTTGTGCCACGGCAAAAGACAACGCTTGACTCGGTCACTGGGGCTGTCAAACTTCCCATCACAAATGAACTTCGATTTCTCATCTGTTTCAAGTATATGTACTGCCATGACTTGACCATGCTTCATCCACAGCTGGTCGAAGATTGTGGCGTTGAATTCCATAGCGCACCTTCTTGCTGCCATGCAGGAGTGTGTTGAGAGAAGTGAACATATTTTTACTAAAAAGCAACAGCCACTGAAGAGGATAGCAATAGCCTTGGGTGAATTTCCTGCAGGTACACGTTGTTGGTAGGCCTACTGGTCCGTCTCCATATCGTCAAGTTCAGAAATCACCTGTACTACACATCTTGTAGAAGGGATCCTGATCGAATAATTGGTCATAAGATTCACTAAACTGAGGGCGAGACAAATAGTCAGTACTCCCCGATTCCGTCAAGCTGCTTTGAAGTCTGGATGCTCATGTGATGCTAACAAGCTCACCGTTGTTACTTCCAGCAGCTTCACTTTCCCTGCGACAGCGGCTATCAACCTCTCTCTCCATCGTCGACAATTATCACAGATTCAACATTCTACATTTTATCAGCACTGCACTAGGTGAATATGTCTAGAGACGAATTTAGCGGATCAACAACGCTTTGCTGGAGATAAATTCTCCTATGGAGGACCTTCGGGGTACCTGGAAGGGTATAGAAGACGGGATCGCTCACGACGTTGAGAGAACATAGAAAACAACCTCCTCTTCGATTGAAAATTGACCAAAAAGTATGTGAAATGTATGTGCGCAGATGCATTTCCACTGGCAAGCTAATCCCTCATTACGCCATGAGCGCTTGCTCGGCGAAATTTAAAAGTCGTCTTCCTGCTCGACTCGATCGCTCCTGGAGACTCGTTCTTGTTCGAGGGGTCTTCTCTTTCACCAACCTTCGTCTTGGCATCGAGAACTCGGCGTCGAAAATGAAGCCGGAGTGCCCCTTTAAGGCGTATCGAGGGGGTCTCCATTTCTGAACAGTTAGGATGATTGGTAGTGTTTATTTGAATTCGCAAACCGAATAATGCATAATGTAGCTTGAAAGCACTATTATCTAGTACTGAACCTTGCCTTTATTTTAAAACCAACTGGGTGTCAGAATGAAGAATTCGAAAAGCGAAAGCAAAGAAGGCAATGGTGATAATCCAGTCATGTAAATCGTATATCTAGTACGACTGACTGCCATGTGATAATTTTTTAATTTTTTATGAAAGTGCACATGAATGAAGTTGAACACTTTTTTGCGGCCTCTTTTACCGGCAAATTAACACAATGGTTTAAAATGCAATAAATCATACACTGGAGAAGAAATCAGAAAAATGCATGTGTAAAAACTTTTTTGCGGCCTCTTTTACCAGCAAATTAAGAGCCTTGTCGCGCCTTGACTTTGATTTTGTGTTTCTCATTTTGCTGCAATCACTACTTATCCACGCCGGTTCCTTTTTTCTTCTCCTCCCCTTCTCCCTTTCTTCCCTTCTTTGTATTGGCCGGTGTTCTCACTGTGCTATGAGATGCTGCAATAAATAAAATAAAATAAATAAATAAAATTAAGTAGGACGAGCTGAAGCGACATGTGGACTACTTTATTAACAATGTAAGCGATGGAGACGATGCAAGAAACAACCTAAAGGGTAAGGAAAAATACATGTAAGAAGAAAAAGGGCAATGGAAAAAAAAGATGATTCGAACAAGTTTTCGTACAACACTCTTCAGGAATCACCGTTGCACTAAAGAACAAAATGAAAACAAAGGAAATAATATAGCAATCAAGGTAGGGTGATACGATACAATGACAGCACTGGAATATCGAGGTGCGATTTCTCACAAAAGTGTGCAGAAAACAAGGGTATACAAGTAAGAACTAAGCGTGACTAATAAACATTATTAGTTTATTAGTGTTATTATTATCATTCGTTCTCACTTTTTTGTTTTTGTTGCTGATACACACTTGTCACGCTTAGTTCTTACTTGTATACCCTTGTTTTCTGCACACTTTAGTGAGAAATCGCACCTCGATATTCCAGTGCTGTCATTGTATCGTGTCACCCTACCTTGATTGCTATATTATTTCCTTTGTTTTCATTTTGTTCTTTAGTGCAACGGTGATTCCTGAAGAGTGTTGTACGAAAACTTGTTCGAATCATCTTTTTTTTCCATCGCCCTTTTTCTTCTTACATGTATTTTTCCTTACCCTTTAGGTTGTTTCTTGCATCGTCTCCATCGCTTACATTGTTAATAAAGTAGTCCACATGTCGCTTCAGCTCGTCCTACTTATTGCCATATTGAAATTATTGTCTCCTCGTCGAATTTTTAAATAAAATTAACACAATGGTTTAAAATGCAATAAATCATACACTGGAGAAGAAATCAGAAAAATGCATGTGTAAAATAAAGAATTTCAAACCCAAACCAAAAAAACTTCAAATCAATTTTTTTATAATTAAAAA